TTAATAATTTTTTATGAATAAAAATTATCAGTTTCCTTTTTCTTGATTCAAAATAACATATGTGAGGAGCAAGTCTTACGTAGGTGAACGCTACACGTTTTTAGTTATTAATAATCAAAAATATTTTTTCAACAATAGAATAAAATATACATTCTTACAACTACCTAAGAAGTTTAAATTGTTGATGGGAAAAATAAACACACTCATAAAAAACGATGATTAACGTGTCTAACAGGACCGTAATACCGTTAAGGTTTTTTAGGATAGGGTTGGAGCAAATTTGTAGACCCTCATACCACCATTTTACGCCTATACGGGTGGTAAATATTGCTATAGTTAACAGCATATAGGCGAAAATTTAATTCGCCATTAAACCTAGTACCTTAAAGATTAATATAAAAAAAACCCAGTACAGTGGAGTCGCGACACAATGGAGAAGTGACATAGTTGGATGAAGTATAGATGATATCTGACAATGATTAAACTCACTATCATAAAAAACGTTGCGATACAAATCTGTAGTGTTTAATTTTTAGAAGATATTATTGAATTATTCCAAAAGCAACAAGAAATCGTATTTCCTTATTTATCTCCACATCTTTAGCCTTTGATTAATTTCCTCCCTATTTTCTTCTATTAACACTATATCGTCAGCAAACATCATGCACCACAGCACCTCTCCTTGTATTTCTCTAGTAATTTCATCCATTACTATAGAGAATAAGTAAGGGCTTAAAGCAGAACCTTGGTGCACTCCTACTCTTACCCTAAAACCTTCTATTACTCCTTCCACACTTTTTACCCTAGTACAAGTGCCATCATACATATCCTCTAATATATAAATGTACCTTTTCGGGACTCCTTTTCTCATTAATGACCACTTTGAAACCTCTCTTGGTACTCTATCACATGGTTTCTCCAAATCTATAAATACTACACACAGCTTTTTTTGCTTTTTCCTATACCTTTCTATTAGTTGTCTCACGCAAAATAATGGCTCTATTGTTTACTTACCAAGCATATGTCCAAATTGGTTTTTAGATAACGATGTCTCATTCTTATTCTCTTATCTGTTACCTTTTTCCAAATCTTCATACTATGACTCATAAGCTTTAAGTCTCTATAATTTCCAAACTCCTATATATCTCCTTTACCTTTAAATACCAGCACCACAATACTATTCTTCCATTATTTTGACTTTTTCATCTAATAGGATTTTATTAAAAAGATCCTTCAACCACTAATTAAATCTACTAGTCCCTCGTTTTCTGAGATACACTTTTAATGTCTCTCTTAGATATCGCATCATCATCGCTTGTTAGCATCATCTTATCATTACTTTTTATACACATTAGTTTGTGATAATTTTTAGACTGTTTTTCTTTTAATTTTGCAAGTCTATAGACTTCTTTTTCATCTTCCTTCGTTCATAGCGGCTAGTAACAAAGTTCCTAGCCTAACATAAAACTCATCATACCTCTTAAACTTCGCCTTACTTACCGCACACTTGATTAATCTTTACCTATTTCCCTTACTTTCTCTCCCTTCCACTTAGTTTCTTCCTGCACACAACAATTATTAACTTTTCTCAGTTTCAATGCTTCTACTAATTCTCTACTTCAACCAGATGACGTTCCAACATTTCATGCACCTATTCTTACTTTGTATCTATCTGTATACCTTATACATGAATTTAGCCTAGAGTTGGGTGATGATGTACACATGACTGGTGAAACAGTTACCGCACATATTGTCCGACTGGTATCAAACACTTTATTCTTTAGGCCATCTTTGTCTCTAACAACTTTATTACCTCTCGCCTGTTGTCTCCGCGTACATCCGAGATGGGACAATTCGCCTAAATTATGTTCAGGATGTCTCATACTTTTCAACAAAATTTTAAACTTACTGTCGACCTGACGCAACCTCAAGTGGTATATACATATCCATATATATTTAAATTATACCACTTACACAATAAAATTGTATTAATACATATATTTATCAAGAAGATATATTAAATAAAGCAATATTATGTAGAAAAATAAAATATGAAATCGAAAATTTTAACACAAGTATTATATTTTTTAAATGCAGCAGTCATTTGCGCATAGATGATCAGTTGTCAAGACAAACATTTATCTTTTAACTTATAATACGTAACATAAGTTTTAACTTAGCATGTATTTAATACTTGGAGTAATCCGAAACATTTTCAAAAGTTAAGTTGAATAAGTTAAATTTTACTATTTTGAATCTCCCCATAGAAGTAGGTAAATGGTCAAATTTTCAAAAAAATGATACCTAATGAAAAAGAAATACTTAAAGTATTAATTTAAAAGAAAGTTTTTATGATTAATTTATTTTAAAAAAAGTTATGGCAATTTTAAGAAAACTTTTTTTGAGGAGGGGATCTCCCTTATTTACAGGTAACAAGGCAATTTTTCTTTCGATGCCTTCTTTTGAAACGAATTGTAATCTATTTAAGTATCGTTAAAAGAAATTGGTCCAGTGAAACCTGATAAAAAGTGTTGATAGACATAAAAAAAACACACCATGGTAAAATTGATAACTTGTAGCTTCGCATTAAAGCTGAAATTTAGTAAGATACGTTTAAACTAATTTTAAGAGTCACCTCCTAAATTTAATATTTTAAGTTATAACAAAATTTCAATAAATATATAAAGCTTTTGCTATCCTTAAATTCGTCGAAGTGTTTCATGTTTTTATTTATTATTATAATTCTAAAGTGGTACACCAAACAAAAAGTATTTAATTCATTTAAAAAATTTTCGTTTCCTTCAATTGTAATAACGGTTTTAAAATATTCTAAAAATAAAAAATTTACAGAAATCGTCACATTGTTTTACAATTTAAATGTAATTTTTAAGTAAAACTTAAAAAAAGTTAATGCTATATTTAAAAAATTTATAGATCGTAAATTTCAGTATGTACTATTAATATTTGATCCACTTATTATTTATTTCTAATAATTTCATCGTTAAAGTAATAATAGACTTCAACGATCTTAATTAATAAAATTAAAAATAATAATTTAAATCTTTCTATATTATTAGTCATAAATCTATAGAACTGTTTTTAATAATGACAACTTGTTCTACACGCGATTCCCATCCATAACCTTATGTAAAAATTACTATTTAATACTTTTTCATACATTTCAAGTGTTTAACATAATTATTAACAACTCGAACAAGGCTAAAGAGTTTTTAATATAATACTTTAAGAAATTGAGTGTCAATAATATAATTACATTTCCTGTAAAAAATCTTGCATCTATTACTAAAATAAAACAAAATTATAAAAACGTAAAAAAAACAGTCTTTTATTACCATTGCAATACAAAATATTAGTTAACCTGTTCAATTATCTTTATTTTGCCACCTTAATCCACGAACTTAAGTATAACAGTTTACTATTTACTATATTTATACGCATTTAAATACAAAATTATAATAAACCATTACTGAATTCAAATTTTTAAATATTTTTGAATAAAAAAGTACAAAAACTAAACTAACTACTAAGATATTTTTTTGTTCATTATTTATAAAACTAAAAAAACTCACCTTATTCATATTACACCACAATTACTTTATAAGCTAGGATAATTGAATATTTTTAATTTTTCCCTAAATATAAATGAAATATAATAGAAGTATTAGAATATATAATTTTAATAATTATAATAATAAGTATAATTAAGAAGGTATACATATTTATAATTTTTTCTTAAATTTCTAACATTATATCTGATAAAAGCACATAACAAGTGATAGGTACCATTCTCATAATATAAAATCATGAGAACTTTCTTCAACCGATTTAATGATACTTCAATTGATATGAATCAATTTATTTTTCAACAAAAATTTTAATTTAACTATTATATAAAATTATGTCCCACATTAAATATATTACACGAAAATATTGCCATAAATTATTTTATTTTTCTAACTTCAAAAGTCACATTCGTAGAAAACAAATTATTGAATCACGAAAATTAATTTTTTTTTATAAGACTTTAAGCCATTTAAACTTTCTTCTGTTTATTTTAGCAACAGCCCATATAATAGACTATTTTAAATTCGTCGTTTCCCTTGTATACTAATACCTAACTAATAATATAGTCTTAGATGTTTTGGAACTTTATTACTTATTATAATCCTATAACAAACAACCTAAGCGGTAAAATTAGTTTTTAACTAAAAAGTTAGTAGTACATACCTACGGTGTTAAAGCTCAATTTTACTAACGGACATCGTTAACACTAAGCTGAATCAATAAATTATAATGTGCACCATATTAATCGCCTTCTCTTTGGAATAAAAACAATAAACAAAAACACTTATTTTTGAATACATCAAAAACTCCTATGAATATGTTTAAAAAATATCTAGGGTAATATTTAACAAGATTGTACATAATTATTAGATTAATCGTATTTACAATCGGATTATGTATTCTATGTTTATTAACATTGCTCTTTTCAAGTAACTGGCGACAAAAACAGATCACTAAATTTCAATGAATTAATATATTAAATGAGACAGATTTTACTTACTCATAATAAAGTTAAGCTCTATTGGAAATTAAAACAATGCGAATTTTAAAAATTTATTGTTTTTAAACTATTGTATTAATTAAAAATCTTATGTATACTTAAAAATTGAAAATATACATATAATTATATTAACCCTTAATTACCGACGTGTAAATAAATGACATAATTACTGATGTGCGGTCTACCAGATTGTACTCTTGTACTTTATATAATTAATATTAATCAATCATTTAAAGGTACATTAAAAGAAAATACAATTAACAACAATGTATAAATAGTAAAATTGTGAACAAAAATTTGATGCGGTCTGATAGGTCGAACGTCGGTAGTTAAGGGTTAAATACGATCAACTATATTTACTATGTGTAATTTTAATATAGAAAAGAAATATGAATAAAACTAGATATTTACTTACGCAATCAGAAAATTTCAATTTGCATATATAAAAATAAAAAAAATTACTTTACGTCAAAGTTAAGAAATATAAGATGATAAAAAACGTTTTAGTTTTAAACTCATTTTCAAAACATATTGCAACATACCCAGATTCTCCATCGAAACACAAATTTAATAACGAGTTGAATGCAAGACAACTTCAAAATAGTTATAAAGTATAGGATAACAAAATTAATCTCTTCAATCTCAACATGAGCAAACATTTTAACGAAAATTGGACTAAAGAAGTAAAAACTACCGCTCTCTAGATCTACAAACCCATACTACTAGAAAAACGAGCGAATATCATTACTAGCCGGGACGTAACTTTAATTTTTTTTTTTGTTGCTCATAAATATTATGAAAGCCACATTGTAGGGCGAAACGGAGAGTGGGTCTTATCTATAATTTTGATGTTAAGAGGCTTAAGCCTGATAGGCTGTACCATAGATAACACAGAATTTTAAGCTCGCAAATGTTTACTCCTCAACCCGCAAAAGCCGTTATTGGATACCAGGTTCGTACTGATAGCCAACGGCCAAGAGGGCACAACAATTATAGTGTTCCTGCTCTCTCCAAGAAATGAAGAAAAGTAAAAGATCAAAAATTAATTTAACAAAAAAAATTTACAATACAGATTATAATTCGGAATTTAATAGTGCATACGTAATTCAGAGCGGCCTGATAGATACATGGAAGATAAAGAATTAAATTTTATTTTGCATACATCGTAACATTCAAAATCAAGTTTTGAATTGATTGTATTGATAATTTGACCAATAGTAACTAAATGAATAAAAGAATTTTAGAAAATTTGTGGTTTATTTATATATTTTTAATAGTATAAAGGGAAAAAATTTTACTCATCAGTTTGTACGTCTATATTAAAATCGTAACATATTCCCTCTTTAATACATAAATTAAGATGAAATACTCGTACAAATATTAATTATTTTATAAAGTATAAATTTTCAACTCTGTCAAAAAATTAGAATATTACAAAAATAATTTTCATATAGACCAATTATTCAGGAAAATTACTTTTACTTAAAAATAACTTCGAGAGTGACTAAGAAGTGACATTTTGCTGATAATTCAACTAGTTCTTTAGCTACTATTAATCAAAGCCTACTTATAAACAAAATGTAGTTACTGGCTTGCCACTCGTGTTCAAAAAAATGAGTGATCACCTTTTAGAGAATATTGTTTAAATATGCCTCTAAAATGCACACATTTTATCAATTTTTTATTTCAAAATTAATAATTTGACAACTTAACAAATATAAAAACTAAAATAATTTAACAAATATTGTTTTTATATTTCATTGATAAAATGATAATTAAATCTTAAATTTTTCAAAATAGTTATTGAATTTTATTTAAAAGAACTTTTGGCAATAGTAAGGATAATGTCTACGATTTTAATACTTTTTTGATTATTTCCATTAAACTATGACCAAAAATTCCTATAGTTATCATTACAATAGGTAGGTACAAATTCAAAGATAATTTAATAATGATTTTTAATTTTTATTTAACAAATGAATCAGCATGTAAAAAAAACAGTATTAAAAAAAAGACTTCTTGAAATAATTTAAAATAAATAAAACTTCATAACACTTTAGTATTAAATAAAATAAATATTCAGTAGAGAATTATTTATAAAGTAATATTTAAGTTTTATACAAATTGAACAATTATTAATAAGTAATATTTTTAAAAATCAATTAAAACTAAATTTTAAAATTCAAACAAGTAGAAATTTTAAGTATGAATTTTATGTATTGCAATAATTCACATTATACAGTTAATTTTTTGTATCTAAAAATGATCACTGTAAAACTATCTAATAGATTTATTATAATTTTTTTGTTTACTAATTATTATTAAATGAATTTTTTTTTATTGTTTTACTGACAAAAGATACATTTTTAAAGTATTATTTACACCATAGGATAAATTTACAAAAGATATATTTATAAAAAGCATAGTTAAAAAAAAATTATAAATAATAGTTAACATTAACAATTTTGTTAAAAATTAAATTTTAATTTCACTTTCAAATAAAAAATTATACAAAAAATAAAACAAATTAATATGACATGATTAAATAAATATTATAAGTATACAAATAAAATTGAACAAATAAATTACATAATACTGTTTGTTTTATATTTAATAGTTTTTTTTTAATAATAAGAAATATTTTATAAAAAAACACTACACAACATATTTTTGAGCCAAACAATATTTTAGTTAATTTTGAATGTAATTTTGTCCCTGATTCCGAATATGACCTTAAAATTTTTAGAACGATTCTAGTTTATAAGATGACCGCTAATTAATGATTATTAGATATATTACTCAATAAGAAAAAATTTTTTTAAAAAATTATATAAGTTATGCTATATTTATATTTAATTTTAAAATTATACAGAATTTTTATCAAAATACAGTGATAATATTAAAATAGTTGTGCAGTGTAGTACAGATATATAATAAAAAGATTATTTACAAAAAAAATTGTATAATTATCAATATTTATTATATTGTCAAAATTAAAATCCTTATCTTCTATATCAATACCATAGAAGTTTTATACTTATGAATAGTAATATTTAATTAATTTGGCCAGGATATTTTCCTACAAATATATCTTATTATTCTACACTATTTATATGAAGTACAAATTTACTTTTATTATTTTTTTAGAATTGAAATAGCATTTAAAAATATTTCAAAAGGTTAAATTATTTTCATAATTTTCATAACATAAATTATTATTTATACCCATTTTATTATAAAATTGTATTGAACTAAATTTAAATTTTGAATGATAAATATTGTAGTACAAAAAGTAATTAATAGATAGGAATAAATTAAATAATCAAAATTTAATACCCAAATTTTGAGTTTTTTAATAAACTAAACATATATAATGGTAACCCTATGAATTTTTTGAGGAAAAATTTTTTGACCAAAGTACAACATGTTACAAATAGTATCCATCAATGGACAAATCTGAATTAATTTTTACAGAATTTTTTAAATTCCTAAAATAGTATCTTAATTTTTGTTATAAAATATTAATTTTTCATTATAAAATAAATAAATAAAAATAATGTTAATGTAAAATTAGTTCAATGTAAAAAAAAAATCAAAACTTTATGCACACATATTCAAAATATGTATAATCAAAGCTTCCAAAAATCATTATATAATATTTTTGTGACTTGTCTACAAGGATTTTATATACTTTGATTTGAAAAATATATAGAAGTAAAATTCTTAAAAAAAACTTCCAATTAACATTAGCATAAAATTTTTTTTAGAAATCAGTAATTAAATTAGAGTACATATTACAGTACATCCGAACAAAATAATATTCACTACTCTTAAATGTTTATATTGCACTTAACTTTAATCTTTTCAAAATAATTTTTTTATACAATTTGATAAAATAAAAACTACATGGTAGACATTTTTAAAAATGTTCAGGAAGTATCAATGTTGATAATATTATAAAAATCTTGTATGCCTTTGGTATGATTCCCAGCGAGCATCATCTGATTCATGAGTTAAATATCTCAAAGTCCCTGTTGAAACTTCTAATTCTCTTAAATCACACCATGTTTGATAATCCTAAGTTAAATACAAAAACTAAATGAGGTGTTATATTATTATTTAATTATTAAATATATTATGGAATTATACTTTAATGTACTCAGAATTTTCAATAAAAATATAGAAAATTGTATTATCTTTAAATTGAACACAAACCTAATAGTATAAACTATTAAGTGAAGGTTAAAACCCCTTTAGATAATGATCCTTATATATATTGGTATTTTTAAAGTATTTGAAAACTAAAAAAAATTAATTTTAACTTTTTATATTTATATTTATAGTCAAATTATTGCATAAAATTTGTGATAATTAACATTATTTCAGTGAAAATCTATGAACTTTTCTTTCAAATAATAACAAATATAAAAAACATACTTGATATAATTCTGAATACATTATTCAGTTTAAAAAATGTTCTCAAAACATATAAGTATTCCATTTTTTAAAATGTTGAACATAATTAAAAATAAAATAGTTAAAATGGTCAAATAATGGAATGTTAAATTAAGACAAATTTTACCTGTAACCAAATATGTGCTAAGGATTTATCAACTGTAAATCGTTTTCTTTGTTTTACTTGTAATAAATTGGCAATTAAGTCTATTGCTGAAAGATAAAAAAATCAATCAATAAATAAATTTATAACTCACAATATTAAATTTTATAATAGTTCTAAAATTAGTAGCACAATTATGATATTCAGAGTATAATGTGATACATACAAATTTATTCAAGTAGCAAAATTATTATATGTGACCTCTACAGTTTTGTCCAATTTTTTTTTATATTACAACACATAATAAAATTATATAACTTATAAAGTAGTTTAAGTTATATAAAATTATATAGTCAATTATCAATTAATATAAAACTATGCAATGAAATCATAATTAAAATAAATTTAATTTTATTGTTTTAATATTGTAAAACTATTGTATAGTATTCATAATTTGACATTAGATAATGGATGATAAAAGTATGTATCAAGAGATAAAATTCTGCCCCCCATAAAATTTAGAAATTTTAGAAAAATTAAAATTGTGTTTAATTTACATTATTGTATTTACAATATTAAAACAATTAAGAAATCATCAGAAAAATAATCTACATTGAAATTTCAAAAGACTAGTTAGAATATACCATCATGAGAAATTTCTTTCCAAGGATTTCTTGGATACATAAATGCAGCATTTTGAATTTGATCATTTATATCTTCATCTTCATTAAATGGAAAAGTTCCACTTAAACTAACATATACAATAACTCCAACACTCCACATATCTAAAGATCTATTATATCCTTTATTTCGTAATACTTCAGGAGCTAAAATAAAATAATTAAACAGAGTAGTTTAAATATCCATAAAAAATTTTAATTTTAGAGTAAACATTAAATAAACGTTTACTCTACACCACCTAAACATTAATTCTTGGTAGTTATAAACATTGCTGTTATAAATAACCACTTGGCAAATAATATCATTTAGTAACCACTCAGATAAAGTAACTGAAAATAATCTTTGGTACTATTTGATCTTATGTTTTATGTTAAAACCTTACCTAAATATGCTGGAGTACCAACAACAGATCGTCGAAAAGATTTTTCTCCAATTATCCGAGCAAATCCAAAATCACATAATTTAACTTGTGGAAAATCTGAGTTTGAGCTTAGAAGTACATTTTCTGGTTTTAAATCACAATGAACTATGTTTTTGCTATGCAAATGTTTAAGTGCAATAAGAATCTAAAAAATTTTTTAGTCACAATGTATACTTACAGAAAAAATTATATTAAAACGTTAGAATGAATAAGCTTAATACTTGAGTTAATTATTAATTTTAATGTTTGCTATATTTTTCTAGTTTGATATTATATCTATATATGAGGATTAAACTTCAAAGGGTATCTTGACAGAACTATTATTATTATTGAAATCAGCCATCCAAAAAATAAAGTGAACTAGTAATGTAACAGTTGAATGAAATTCAAAATTCACATTGGTTCATTAATAAGTGATTAAATAATAATTTTTAATTTCAAAGTATTTTGATAAAAAAAATTAACAAAATAGTTATTTAAATATAAGAAAGTAATTTCAATTTTTTTTTCTTTTTTGGTATGCATAGATATTATAAAGACCACTATGTAGGGTGAGACCTTTTATTTGAATGTTGAGAGGTTTATGTCAGATAAGTTGTACCTTGGTAGTCAACCTGATAACACAGAATTTTAGGTATACAAATGTATACTTCATGTACTACAAACTAAAACTCTGTTTAAATATGAATAAAATATAAAATAACAAAACTCAATATTAATTCATTTAATTATAAAAATCAGAGGGTCTTTTTAAAAAAAAAACGTAAATTTGCAATTATTTTTAAAGAACATCTATGATAACCAAGTAATAAACTATAAATAAATTCTTACAAAGAAAATAGATTTTACTACAAATAATGTTTAAATGAAATATATATTATGCATTATTATCAAAATAAAACCAATCCTCATTTAAAATTTATTTTTTGTAATAAATAAGCATAAAATATTTATACAAACTTAAAATTAAATTCGTACTGCTATTTTATATTTTTTATGTGTTAAAATATTATCTATAACTTGATAAATGCTAAATTTTCTTCAATTGTTGAAACTTACACTAATTTTAACTCTGAATTATATAGTACTAGGTATAGTATGAACTATAATAATAAAAACATACTTGAGTAATTAAAAATTTAGTAATACGTTCTGAAAGTCGACCACATTCACTAGACAATATCATTTCTAACATATCACCCCTTAATTTTTCCATCACAACAAATATACGTTCAACAGTTTCAAACATACAGTCCAAATTCACAACACCAGGATGTTCAAGTTTGCCAAGTATAGCCACTTCATTTTTTAATGCTGCTTCTTGTTTAGTAGGGAATCTTAATTTATCAATTACTTTGATTGCTACTGATTTACCAGATTTCCTATGTTTTCCTAAAATGAAAAATTATTTATAGCTTATATTTAAAACTAACAAAATAATTTAAATTTCATTTCAATGATACCTCCATAAACTATACCAAATTGACCAGAGCCTAACACTTCATCAGGAAATATTTGATATAATTGACTCATGTCAGCAATATTTTGTTGTTGTTCATTAGCTTCAATAACAGACCGCGAATCTGTAAAATTAATAAAAAATTCAAACTACTTAATTGTCACTTTTTTTTTTGTGTGTGTGTGAAAATAAAATTAGAATAAAAATATAAAATTTAATTTAATTTAAAAAATGTCTATAAAAATGTATTGGCAAAAACTCTGTTTAATATTTTTAGCTTTTATATTTCTACTTCTTTTTGAAGTTTAAATTTAAAAATTGTACAGACATGAAAAGATTATCTTGGTAACTGTAAATGTTTTACGAAAAAAAAAAAATTTATTATAAAAATTATATTTTTAATATCAATGCTATAGTCTTATAATTTCATCTACAGATTGTTAAGTATATATAATTATAAAAACAGAATTATTAAAAAAATAAAAATCATTAAAAATTTTACAAATTATAGTACACAATTAGTAAATAAAACTATGAAAAAATTGTAAGAATGATAGTAAAAAATATATAAACATGCTTACAACAATATTTCCACAATTTTTTATAGACACTACTCAAAATAATAATTTTTCCCAACTATAAGAAATTTTCTTTTTAAAATAATAGTATAAAATACATTAAGAAAAATTTGAATTAAAATGTCATAAAAAATTTGTTTAAATAAGTATTTGTTGACTGTTTACACAAGTACACAGATTTTATTTTTCTAAAAAAATACTAATAATCAAGTGGATTTATGAAACATTAAAAATTAAAAACATTTAAAATAAACAATATTCTCGAGAATGTATTATACACACATTTTATGTTTGACACATAATTTTATCTAGAAATTAAGATTTTTTACAAAATCAGTCAATTTTATCATTAAAAAAAAATAATTTTTTCTTATGAAAAATAAAGTTTAAACATAACAAATAATAATAACAATAATAATAATAAAATGTATTGAGTAAATATATACAGAGTGCTTCCTTAATAACGCCTCACTCAATTACTTCAAAAATATATGGCAAAATAAAAATTTTCTACCTAATTTTCATTCATATTATTTTTAATAAAGTATTTAATTCTATGCCCTTCTCTTGCTACTTAAAATTAGATAAACTTTAATTAAGCAAATAGTATCTTATAAATTTGAATGGAATTTGCATTGGAAATTAATCTAATTGAGACAATAACTTTTCAAACCATTATTACAGGAGTTATTCGCGCTTCATCCTTGCTCTATATTTTAAAATGATAATACTTTGTCGAAATACTAATTGAAAAAGTTTTTATCAACCAGTCATTTTTTAACTAGATCATTTTCTAAAATATATTATCACAGTTAAATTTATGTATTAATATTTAATTAACTAAAGATAATTCATTTTTGTGAGGCAAGAGATGATATAACTAAATATTTTAATGAAAATAATAAAGCATAGGAAGATATGAAACTGTGATAGAAAAAAGTTTTATTTTACTACATATTTTTTTTAAGAAAATCGAGTGAAGTAATTAATGAATCACTTTGTATATACAGAATGGTAAACAATGTTTTGACAAATATAATAACTAGATTTAATGAATATTTTGCATTACTCTTTTTTTAATATTTCCTATAGTTTTAGAATATGTTAAAAACATATTATTTATTATTTGATTCTAATAAAATAAGTAATAGAAAAAATAAATACAATTTTTTTTTTTTCGAAATTTCAAAATAACCATCATGTTATGCTCATTCCTTACAAAAAAATTTTCTGTGTCGATAACAACTAAGGGTGCAATCACGTAAAGTCATATATAAAGTTATTATCTAAATGCCAGTGTGTTGGATAGAAGAAGTTTAAGCATTCAAAAATAGAAATTTATCCTATTATTAAATATAAAAAGAAAATGAAGAAAGTTTCTTCTTTATTGTTCCTCATTTCAATCTTTAAACAATTTCTAGTGTTTTGTTAAATCCAAAACCAGTATAAATAATATACTGACATAATTAAAAAAAATAAAATTCTTGGAAGCAATGCTTACAAGTTAAATTAATTTATTATGAATTAAAATCATTGTAATTGTTTACAATTATCATAAGCAATTTAATCAGTGTAGCATACAAATTTTTTTTTTTTCAAGGTCATTACAATGAAATTTTCTGAATTTGTTTACAAGACCTTAACACATAGTTAACCTCAACTGTCACAATATTTACAATAAAACTTTGTTTGCTTGCACCAGCTTTACAAATTGCCAGTTGTGTAGTTAAGATTATTTATACTAACACTAGAAATTTTTGGGTCCAGGTAGAGATACCAATTCTTTATAATAAGTAATTTTAATCTGAAGACACTGATTGTTTAAATATAACAAAAAACCAGTGCGTGTTACGAGTACGCGCAGATGAAGTGAAGCTTCTTTCATTTAACTGATAAAAGTTATAGGTTTATAATGGAAGAAAAAAAAAATTTTTATTTTCAATTGAAAATTTATTTCTTATTCTATTGTTGCGAAAGATTTTATTACTAAAATAATAAATGCAAGTTTTTGATAAGACATTATGAAGAAATCGTGTGAAAATTGCCTCTAATTGTTTTTTTATAACTTTTTTATGCACATTTAAAATTAAACTATTTAATTCATATTAAATAACATCACTTTAATTTTTGAAAATACAGTACTAAATTATAATATAAAATATAATTTATTACTTACTATCATTATTTATCAATAAAAGTATATATAGATATTATTTATTATTTTTATTTACATTAATATATAGAGTGTTCAGTAAGTAAAGAAACGGGTTTCTATTGTTCTTATTGTTTGTAACAATCTATTTGTACTTACTGAATACCTGTATGGTAATAATTAAATTTATAGCCATTATATTTATTTATATTATATATATATATATTTAATTATTTACTTATATAATTTAATGAAATATCTATAAATTTAACTAATTATATATATTAATAATGAAAAATAAAATAATTATCAGTTATTTTATATCCTTTCATTTCTCGAACTTAACTTGTTACAGAAAGTGGTGGACCTCTTAAACATGTTAGGGAATCAAACATGGTTTTCTTAGCTAGACCAATGATAGATGAGACAGAAATTAAGGCCGGCTTATATTAGAGACCAGACAACACTAACGAGAAAATCACTATAATTGTCAATAATTATAGATAATATTTATTATTTACATAAATTATTTATTTACCTATAAAAATAATTAAGAATGAATAAAAATTTATATAATAAATTATATTTTATATCATTATTTAATTTTATTTATTTATATATTTACATTAATTAAAATATAAATAAATACTATAATTTATGTGTACTTTTTATATTAATTAATATAATTATAAAAATAAATAGATTTAATTACATTAAAGTTTAAAATATATATGTAAAACATTATTTTCAAAATTAAAGTATTGTTGTTTAAAATGTATTAATTTATTTAATTAACAGGTATGAAATTGTGAATTTTTGTCAAAACTTGTTTATTAAATTATTTATATAATTTTAGCGAATTATTTGAAATCAAGTAATTTAATTTAATTCACTTAATGATAAATTATAAATTTATATGCATATGTTATAAATTATTGTTTAAAAAGTAATATATTAATTTAAAATATTTATTTATATTATTACAATAAGTTGTAAATAATCAAAGAATGTAGAAGTAGAAGTATGGAAAATAATAGGCGATGTGGGCATAAGATGGTTTAAGGATCCTTTTAATAAAATCTCACTAGAAGAGAAAATGCCAAAAGATTGAAGGAATAGTATTGTGGTGCCATATGGGGACATACAGGAGTGTGAAAATTATAGAGGCATGAAGCTTATGAGTCATAGTATGAAGATTTGGAAAAAGGTAATAGATAAGAGATTAAGTAATTACACATTGGTTTCTAAATACCCATTTAGATTTATAAAGACACAAGATCACCAAAACAAAGTTCTCTTATTAAAAATACAAAATAATTATGGCATATAATCTACTTATTGTACAGATTTTTAAGTAATGCCTACACACAGCTCCCCCATTGTAATTATCCAATGGAAATAGAAAACTTTAGCTTCCAAGATTACACTAGAAATTACTAGACTATCATCTCTGACTATAAAAAGCTATTTTTCTATTTAAAAATCAGTTCTTTTAGCAACTTCAAAATACATAAAATCTACGACATTTTACTCAAGATTTTCACTCCATGGGACTTATAATTAATTCTTCAATAAAAACATTATTTAAAAGTCATTTTTTTCAAAATTAATTTGTACTTAGAATATTTTTCAATTTAAAAACACATTCTTTTTTTAAAGTTTTTGGACACTTAGAAATTTTAAAGTAAATTTTTGTTTGGCGGATCTTCTAATTTAAGTTTATTTATTTATTAAATAATGTTTTATTAATTTTTCCTTATTATGGAAATTAACATAAATTCAAATTTTAAACATTAAAGCTTTTTTTAATTATTTTATTTTAATAGTAAATCTATTTGTCTTAGAATTGTACAAATATGCAATAGTGTCATTTTTCTTGTGAAATTACAGAAGTTTTCAGCCAATTCTTAATTTTGATATATAATTACTCTAAGTTTTTTTTCTTTTATACATTCTCTTTTTTGTAATTATTTGTCACAAAATGAACTAATTTAACCTCGTTTAAGTCTTTAGACTATTTTCATTTTTATGAAACCAATTTTCTTTCAATATTTCTGTACTATTATCATCAAATTCATTTAATTTTTTTCTAGTTAATTTTACCTTTATCCTTTTTTTTTTTTTTTGGTTTATTACAGTCATTTTGGTTAAATGTCAAAAAAAACAACTGAAATCATGAAATAAGCAAAATTTAAATAGAACATCGTTTTAAGCACCAAAAAATACATAAACTATTTTTTTTTTTTTTTTAACTCTCAAATAAATGTGTTACAAAATAATTGTGAAAATATAAAATTAAATATTTGCCACAAAAAAAATTGATAGTTTTAAATTCCTCGCTAAATTTTTTATCTTTTGGGAGAAATTTGTAACTATGAGTTGAATAAAAAAAATAGTTACAATGAAATTTAAACTTTTTTTTTGAAAATTGACTTCCAAAATTAAATTTAAAGGTCTATAAAAAATATTAAACTTGACAGATAAGTCTCGAATTTTATATAGCTTCTTTTAAATATAATCTAATATTAGATTAAATAATCCACCTAAATATTTAACAAAACCGGTCATTAAAAATGTATCATAAATCATGTGGAAAAAAGAAGCACAATATGGGATTAGAATCTGCAACCCAAGGTGTCATAGACACAAACCTTACACAGTGCACTTAGGTTGATAATGTGATGTGTGGCTTAGGGAAATACAATACAGTGTCATATTGTAGATAGCAGAAAATTGTTCATATTTTGTTGTCATGTATTTGAAAAAAAACCTAATTAAACATTAAAAAAATGTAACATACCTTATTTTACTAATAAATTTTTTTTTCAGTAAAAATTTTCAATTATAGTTTATAAAATATTAACAGAACAAGGCCTTATTTAAGGTGCTATCAGTAGAAAATCAGTCATCTGCTAAATATCTTAGAAAATTAATCTACAATATGGCAGGTAAAGAAATTAAATATATAATTATATATCTTTTCTCTTAATTTATTACCATTTATTTCTATAATATTAAAACTTATACCATTATGTTTGTGTGTTTGTTCAATTTTGAAATGAAACTTTCTAACCATACTAGTACAACATTATGTATCATAGGATCAGTTATTAATTGATGGTGAATAAACAATGCATACTGATAAATCTTTTAAAAAAGATATTATAAGTAAAAAGACTTACAAGTTCCAATACATAATTTTTTCACCAAATTTTGTTTGTAGTTGTAATGTGTATATTTCAAATTTTACTTTTCAGGCTAAAAAAAAAGGTTTATTGAATTTAATTTGTTCAAAGATATTTAAATATTTTTAAATTTATATTTACACAGTTGATAAAGTGTAGCTATGATATAGTGATGGCATATTTCAATGGATGCAAAAGCTAATTAGTGATAAAATACAAATTTTTAACCCCATTTTTCAAGCTTTACAAAATAGGCAAAACAATTAACACAATTAAAAAAGTTTAATAATTGAGTTAAATATAATATACCTAATAAATTTTTTATGATTCTTAAATTAAGAATTTACTGAAAAAATAATACATACAGAAGTTTAGCAATTTTTGAAGTGCAGATATTAGACAAATTTTTTCTAGTCAATGTAAATGTATTAAATGATGTTATAAAAAGGATCCTATTAACATTTTAAATATCACACACTCCATACATCTATTAGAAATTATTATTCAAGACAATTATAATCTTAATGGCTCACATAAATTAATAATGTGTATCAGAGTTTTGTAACGCAAGGGAAGCAAAGCTTCTTAACGAAAGTTTGAATAAGTAATTATTATTATTATTAACTATATATATTATATTTATTATTAATATATTAAGCATTAAGAACATAACAATGTAATTTTTAATGAAATATAAATGTAAATAGGTACATACTCCATTTAAACAAATGTAGTATCAAATATTTCAAAATAACAGCTTTATAGAGAAACATTGTTATTAAAAAACTAAGTTGATAGCTAATTAAATAATACGTATAAATATAATATGATCTATTTACAATAACTTGTATCTGACGTTTGATAAATTTTTCAGAATAGTTTAAAAATAATTGATATATTGATTTATTTATACAATTTTGACTCACACTACAAACAATTTTTTTTTCACAATATTTATTTTGAATAACTAATTATTGAATTTAAAAGCAGATATTTGTTACTACTAAATTGATATTTTAGAGGGAAATTTATCAAAATATTTTAAGTAACCTATATAAAATTTAATTCCTCTTGAAAACATGAATTCAATGATACTAAAATTCTATTATTTAAAAAAATGTTAGATACTTATTATTTTTAAATCAGTAATGATATTTAATATAATGTAATAATGTTTTAAAACAGTCATTATTAAGACATTTCAAATTTCGAGTGTTTTTTGAAGGTCTAAATTTGATTCAAAATGTTTTTTATGCTGAAAATTAATCTTTATTCTCATAAAATTGTATAAATGTACAATAGTATCATTTTTCTAGTGAAATTACAGAATTTTTCAGCCAATTCTTAATTTTGATATATAATTACTCTAAGTCTTTTTTCTTTTATGCATTCTCCTTTTTGTAATTATTTGTTACAAAATGCACTAATTTAACCTCGTTTAAGGCTTTAGACTGTTTTCATTTTTATTAAACCAATTTTCTTTCAATATTTCTGTACTATTATCATCAATTTCATTTAATTTTTTAAAGGATTTTCTTCTAGTTAATTTTACCTTTATCCTTTTTCTTTTTGGTTTATTACAGTCATTTTGGTTAAATGTCAAAAAAAAACAACTGAAATCATGAAATAAGCAAAATTTAAATACACCATCAGATTTAGCACCAAAAAATTTGTAACTATGAGTTGAATAAAAAAAATAGTTACAATGAAATTTAAACTTTTTTTTTGAAAATTGACTTCCAAAATTAAATTTAAACATCTATAAAAAATATTAAACTTGACAGATAAGTCTCGAATTTTATATAGCTTCTTTTAAATATAATCTAATATTAGATTAAATAATCCACCTAAATATTTAACAAAACCGGTCATAAAAAGTGTATCATAAATCATGTGGAAAAAATAAGCACAATATGGGATTAGAATCTGCACCAAAGGTATCATAGAGACAAACTTTACAACTACAATTTAAATAAACTTTTCGTTTATTTAAGTATAAAAGCTCATACAAATTTAATAAACTAGTTAATTTTTCAATGAAATAAAAATAATATTGATAATTTTTGTATGTAAATAATATTGATTATTTTTGGTTTCAAATTTTTCTTAATTTATTAATCATAAAAAAATTTTCTTGTTCATTCCTTATACTTTATAAAGGTGTTAACTATATTTTTTCAAATGAAAATACATATAATTAACTAGCTTATTTATTAAGTATTGATCCAATTAAGAAAATTACTGGTCAATAACAAATTTTAAACCACTTTTTTCGAAATTATTGACATTTTTATACCTATATGGGAGGATAAGTACAAGCAGGAAATGACTAGTGATAAAAATAACAAAAACTGAATCTCATATTCTACCATCTCAAATCTAATAACTTCAATAATTTTTCATTATAATTGCTTATACCACATTAAATTTATTAACAAATTTAATATACACAAGATATTATAATATTAGACAGATTTAATATTATTATGTGTAACAGAGCCAGATTAAAAGAGTAAGTCAAAAGGAGCAGCTGTCTCTGCTAATTGTTTGCAGAAGAAAACGAAAAATCATAAAGTTTTTAAATATATTATAAATTAAGGAAGAATTATTATTATTAATAATTGTTGAAAAAAATACTTAATAAAATATAATGGTAATATTTAACTCACAATAGGTATATATTGTTTAGTATACAAAAACTAATAGAAGACATGAAATAGAATATATGTATAAAAAAATGAACAGACCTGAATTATCATTTATGATAGTTCTATAAACCCCACCCTACTACTGTTCTATAGTAACTTATTCACGTATATCATTAATTTGAATTTGTATACAAAGTTTTTCAATACTAAAGAATGTATCATGTATATTGTGATAATGGCATATTTATCAAATATATTAAGAATTCTTTTGTTAATAAACTATGTATATAACTTGAATTGTGAATCAATTCAAATCATCTTTTTAATTTGTATAAACGCAATTTGGGGTTCTGATCATTTACTTGCCATTTAAAGAGCAAAATTTATTTGTTGTTAATTATAAATTAATTTTTTTTTTTTAAGATTTAACTCAATAAAATAAAATCTAGCTGGCAGTTTTCATTTGACATGTGCTTGAGCGTAACAAATACATAGACATATTTTTATTTACTACCCATACAAACATACGTTAAGAAGCTTCGTTTTAAATAAGTTGTATAATTATATGTTGATTTATAGAAAATACAATAATCTAAAAGATTGTAATTAAAGAGGAGACCTTTTTTCGAAAGTTGAATATTAATAAGTTAATAAATTACTTATATAACTAATAGTTATTAGTTATAAGTATTGAGTGAAGCTGACGTAAGACATATAAATGTGATTTCTTGTATAGCAATTTAATTAAGACTGTAAATTAAACATATATTTATACTTAAGTAACATTTTGCAAAAACCGCAATAAGCAGTTAAAATGAGATATTATCTGCTAAGATTAAAATTTTTTGTAATTATTATGATAAATTGTGATGCCACTATTTAATAGTAAATGTATAGTAACTAAAATATTGATATTTGTGGAACAGCCATCCAAAATCTTATTTTTCAATAAATTTAATTGGAATATCATGAAACATGAAAGTTTACAGTTTTATAATTATTTAGAATTTCCTACAATTAAGCTAAAAAAACAGATGTGTGCCAATGCAGTTAAATAAATTTAAAAGTATAGGTACTACAATCTTGTGACCAAATATAAATAAATTATAAGAGTGTGAAACTTTCAATTTTACTAATAGTTTGCTCATATTTTAATATATTTTTCATGTTATTCATTCTACATGCAGTTTATATTCGAATTTGTTAACAATAAAAATATTATCTACTTAAGTGTAATTACACTATTACATGTTTCTAAATGATAACAAACTGATTAAAGATAACATAATGTGCACATAATTGTTGATTGGTTAGTAGACATAAACTTTTAGTATAACACACAAAACACAAACATAATAATATTATTAAAGCTAAAGTGTTAGATATAACATTTTGGCAATTAAATAAATTCATTAGAAACTTACGTGTTGTATTAGAAGATACAGGCATTAATGCTAGGCGAATAGCGTTTTCCCAATTTTTGTCTTCTTTATTACTATGCTCTTCTACAGACAATCCAATCTTAGAACTATACACTTTACCACCAACATAATAATCAAGATTGGTTGTTTTCAGTTCAAAACAATGCATGGGTCCTATTTTGATAACTTGATGATTAATATAATAAAATAAAATAAAAATTATCTACTTTGATGATATTTTAGAACTTTTAGTATTAAAGAACTAAATTATTATTATTAACTAAAATAACATATTATTATTATTAATGATATACAAAGTATAAAAAATAATAAAGAATAAGGAAAAATAATGATTCTTATTGGACCTTATTAATTAAGTAAGTGTATAATTTATATTACCTGAATCTCTAGGAGTTTTTGCAATATCAACACTTAATATTTCAGATAGCGGTATTTCTTTAAAATACTTAGATGTTTTATCATTAATAAATAAAGTGATAAGTTTCGAATCTAATCTCCAATAATGAAACTTCCTCTGTAAATATTATTTAATTCAATTTACTCAAACCTTGAAATAATATTATACTAACTTGATTATCTTTGTTAGTAAAATGAACAAGCCATCCTTCTTTGATAACTTTACAACCACCTCGCCTTTTAGTATGTTTAATTGATTGAACTATGCGCATCAATGGAATGTTATTACTAGGTGATGAGCTAAAGCCAAATTTAGAAAAATTCATTATTATAAAGTTAAAAAACATATCTTATAGTTCATAATACCCAATACAGTTTGAATCTTCTTGAGTGTTATTTAAAGTGTTATCGGTATAGTACGAGGTATTCATCTCCTTAAAAAACATTTCATAAATATAACAAATCATATTTAACATAATAAAAAATGAACTAAAAATAGTCTACATACTATAGGGTTAGAAGGGCTTAGACCATTACATGGGTTTTCCAAAGTTAATGTTTCCATACTTTGAATAGTACGAGGTGGAGAAGGATTATTTTCACTATCACTATCACCATCGTCATCACCTCTACAACCAGATCCTTCATGTTCTGATTCACTACCAACACCGCTTTCTTTTTAAAAACAAAATAAATTAAGGCATAAGTATATATTACATTTATATTAGAAACCAAATACAGTAGATAAATTTAATATAAATCTAATTAAATAAAAATTGAATTCTTAACATTAAATTAGTTAATAAATTTTAAATATCAAATAATGAATATTCAAAATTTTGCCACACATACTTCTAGATCGAAATTATTTTAATTAAACCACAGCATTATATCTTCTTCTATTTCCTCTCTTTAATCCCAACTACTTGGGATAAAGACAAGTAGTCGGCCAATATATTTTACAGCATTGTAATATATATTTAGTAAAATGTTTGGTTTTCAAAGACATAATCACATTATAATAATAAAAAGTAATTATTAACTTAATAAAATGATTTATAAATAGTTTATAAAACAATATTTATTACTGATTTAAAAATATGAAAACAATGAAACTCCATAGAAGATTATTGAAAATTTAAATCCATTTTGCTAGAGATATAAACCTAGTATGAAATCTTAATCTTTTAAATACTGGATCAAAAGTTGTTATAGACCAGTCAATCTCTTAATTAAATAATTTTCTTATTTTTATTCTAATTAAACATATATGTTTCCATTTAAAAAACTTAAGTTGATACTACTTTATAAGGGAGATAACTAATTTTTTTTTTTTGAAAATTGTAGAAAATAGAATACTATTAATTTCTGGAAAGAAAAAATTATAATGTTTTATATTTTTAAATATTTTGCGTGAAGTATAGTTAATTAGTCACCTTGTATTTAGATATTAAAAAGTTCTATACCATTTAAATCTACTGGATATTCGCTTATACAATCCTTTGGAACAAATTCCATACATTTTTTGTGAACATTATAATGACAATCTTTACATTGAACACCTTGTTTATAAATTCCTTTTAGCAATTTTTTACAATGCTGACAAATTGTTGGCCTAGTATATGTATGTATAACAAATGTATGAGGTATTTTAACTGGTGATGGTGAACGACTTTTACTTTTTACCGGAACATTTAATAAATTTCCACTGGTAACCTGGTTGTAATATGAACACATTAAGTAAATTAACTAATAGAATTACACATATGACGCTAAAATTAAATTTCTAGAATTAAATATCAAACAAACCGATTCGTCAGATAAAGCAGAAGATAATGAAATACTTGATGGACTTCGAGGAGCACCAGATAAATTTGTACTACTTGTTTTATGTTTATTTCTATTTCGACTTCCTCCTCCACAATCATTTAATAATTTTACCACACACCTTTTATGATAATTCAAATTACAACCTATAATAAATAAAAATATATAATTATTTTAGGATTTAAATAGTTATTATATTTATAAAACATAATATAAAGTCCAAAAGAGATATAAAACAAATTTTATATATTTAAAAAAAAAAAAAGTTCTTACCAAAAATTTTAATTAAAAATACACTTTATTTCTATTTTTAACTAATACATTTCATAAAATACTACCTGAACATTTTAATCCTTGTCTCACAATACCAAACAACATTTGACCACAATAATCACAAAAAGTTGGTGTTTTATATGAATGAACAATTAAAGTGTGTGGTTTTATGTTAGATGGTTCATATTCATCTGGCAATATTTGACCTGAAAGTTTATAAACAAATAATTTTAATCCAAGAGGATAAGTATACTTAAATAAGAATAAACTATAGGCACTAATTTGTAAGAAAAATTAGGTTAAAAGTTAAAATAGTAGTGCTGTGATGTAAAATATGACAATATAAATTGAAGATGTACAATTAAAGAAAAGTATCAACTAAAATTGTAATTTTTATTCCATTACTATTAATCTTTTTTAAATTTAATAAAAGTCAAGTGCAATCAGGATTTAGGATAATAGTTGAGATATTTATCAAATAAAAAATTTGTCATATTTTTGCAAAACTTACATGATACTTCTATGGTACTTGTCATAAATATTGACACTGAAAATTTTATTTTGATGCCTGCTCTATTCAAATAGTTAGAGCAATTTAAAAAAACTATCATATCCACCAAAAATTACATGATTAAAAACTTTATAATCCAATTACTCATAAAAGAACAGTCGTAGGAACGTCTTTTATCAAATGTATAGTACATAAAAAAAACCTTAAATTTAATTTAATTATGAATAATGTATTTTGTAATCTTTTACCATATTATTAAGCTAAGTTGGTTCAATAGGAACGGAAAAATTGTGTATAAAGATACACAAAAAGAAAACATGACAGATTAAAACCAATAGCTTCTTAGTTATGTAAAAAAGCTAATTAACTTTAATGTAGTAACTGATATATTGTTATTATAATTAGTAATTATACATTTATTAATATTTAAATTATAATTTAGTTTAAATATAATTATTTACCTGATAAAACTATTTCTATGATAGTATCATCATTAATATCAATAACATTATGAACAGGAATTAATATTTGATCACAGCTATAGTTATGGCGGAATAACATTATTCTTTCGGCTAATCGAGTTAGGCCATGATCGGCACACTGAAAAATATTAAATAATTTTCATAACCTATATTTTACACATTGAATAAAAAAATTAAAGACATTTAATAATTATATACAACAACTAATCAAATCTAACTATTAAAATAATATTTATAACATGCATCATAAAGAATATACACATATGGTAATAATTAATTAACAAATTTTTTTTAAATATTCTCAAATTTTTAGACGTATTATTAACAATTAACTAAAAATGATCCAAGTATTATAAAACTTAACTTGACAAAAAAATGGTATAATTATTTAATTTTCAAATTATAATTTAGATTTTATATTTAAAATTATGATATATGAATTTTATAATCATAAAATATGATTACATTTCAAGTATTATCTTAAAATTAAATATTAACACTATATAATTTACGGTTGAATTTTTAAAAAGTTAATTTTTTTCATTTAACTCAACAAATATTGTTTTTAAATAAAGTACTAAATACTATTAAATATACATACTTTCATGTTAACAAAATCACAAGCTGCTTCTTTCAAAGTTCTCAGAGTGAAACAGGAAGAATTCAATGTGATTGTATCACGAATTAGTCCAAGTTGCAAAAAGAATGTAACCTCTTTATCTTCCATATCATGTGTTGTATAATAAGTAGCAGACAAATAATTTAACACTAAAAAATTCAAATATAATAAACAAACTATTTAATTAAGGAATTGAAAAGTTTATGGATAATTTTTTAATTAAGTTATATATTTTAAACACTTAAAGTCCATAAAAAGGTTTAAGTGGGTCAAAATTTTAAGTAGTCAAAACAAAAACCTCATACATAGTTTATGTAATTATTTTAAGTTTAAGTTGTATGATTGATTATATTTTTAATCGAATAATAGACAATAGTTTTATTACTGCTATAGCTTACCTTTAACAGGAAAATAGTCCGTGTTAAATCAACACGGTAATTAGTACACGACATAACGGCACAGTTTAACGTTTGCACTAGGGCTACTTTACTAAATTCCACACCGAGAAAAACACTTATGTCTAATTAATGTACAAAATACATTACACATCTACCTACTTCATGAACAACTTTCACCAGGCCGTGAATCAATGCTATCAAATTGTTTATGTGATAACGCGCGAACATTAACAATGATAACACTCTTTCGCGAAACGAGAACATTGACGTCACCAAAAAAAGAAAACTTACATTATCATTATTGTTATCATGTAACTAGTAATATTGTTGTTATATCTAGTAGTAATTCTTGATATATTGTATTTATACAATATACAATAAATTTACACTTAATCAATTTCAAGCAGACGCGGTTACAAGGGGGTGATTATGGAAGTAATGGTCCTCCCCAAAATTAGAAGTATTTTCGAAAAAAGGTCTCCTCTTTGAAAAATAGTTCTCACTTTAATAGTAATGATTAAATGGCTTTACCTCCTAAAAAACTTTTTTTAGAATCGCGCCTAATTCCAAGGCTTTGCAAGTTGACACATTTTTTTAAATCGTTAAGGTCAAGTTAATTTTGAATATAGAACATTAAGTTAACTTATGTATATTTCTGACTTAGTTAAGTTAAAAAACAAAATTAAATTTTGTTGTTACATTATTATAATGTACTTGAAATTAATACGTTATTTAGGTTAAAAAGTAACTATTAATAAGTAACTTAATAAAAAGGGAATGAATTACCTAATATTGTTTTAATTTTCTAACGCGTTAATGTACAGCCTTGAGTGAATTTGCTATATAATTTCTCTAAATTATTAACAAATTTAGAATTAAATTTAGATTTAAGAATTACGGTCTTCTTTATTGTTATTATCTACATAAGTAAATGTTAAAAGATCTAGTTAAGTTATTTCACGTCCTTTATAAGCCTTGATTTGTATTTATATGGTTGATCAAAAGGCGATGGTTTGGTTCAAATTAAAAATTTTATACAATTATGTTATGAACTAAAATCAGTAGGTACTAATTTTTGATAATGTAGCGACATTGTTTTAGTGAAGTTTAAATTCAAATAATTCATTATCTCTCAAGTAAATTTTGAATTATTGTTTTCTTCATTAAGTTATTAGAAATTTCGTGAATACATTATGACAACTGATAGACATACTTTATAAATTGATATTTTAATAGAAGATTGATAAATTAGACAATTTATTCAAAAATTTCGACCAAAACTGAGTTTAGTCATAACAAAAAATTTGTTTTCAAAACCTACTTAATATATCTGTTTGTAATGACAAATTATTGTGCACATGCTTTATCGAATCTTTAAACTCAAAACTTTGTAGCAATTATGAAAATTAAAGCTTTTAATATATCCAACATTTTTTTAAAATAACCAGCTAATGTAATAAAATATGATAAAACAAAAAAAACGGTAGCACAGTGGAGTTGTGGCATAGTATGGATGTGACATAGTTGGGACAAGTATAGATAATATCTGACAGTGATTAAAATCATATCATGAGAAACGCTTCGATGTAAATCTGTAGATAGTGTTTAATTTTAAGAAATTGGTGGATTATTCCAAAAGCAAAATTAACTACTCTGTTTTTTTCTAATTCGACTGCCATTTTCAATTAGAAAATAGGTCATTGATACAAATTTTTTTTTTTTAACTTCTTGTACATAAAATAAGCTTTTTTTTAGGATATATTTAAAAGACACAGTATTCCCGGAACTTTTTCAAAAGTCAAGTTGAAAAAGTTCTACTTTTTATTCAAATTTTCAAATTTTTAAAAATTCAAAAAAACTTTTCTTAACTTTGAAAATTTAAAAAATGCATAAATTTATAATATATGAAAGTTAGATTCATGTAAATTTTATATTTATTGGTGGTCTCATTACTATGGCAAACTCTTATAAGGTATTTTAAAATAAACAAATAAAAATAGCATGTTTTTTTAACTATGGCAGCTGTTTGCACGTAGAAGATAAGTCATCGGAGCAAATTTTTTTTTTAATTCAAAGTATGTAACATAAACTTTAATTTGATATATGTTTCAAGGACTCAATATTTTCGAAACATTTTTAAAAGTTAAATTGAAAAAGTTGAGTTTTGTAAAAAAGTTTCTATTTTAAATCCCCTCTTATGGGCATTTGAAGGGTTAAATTATCATAAAATGTATATCAAATGAAAAGAAAATACGTAATGTGTGTATGTGAAAAAAATTATTTTGCTTCATTCATTTTTCAAAAAGTTATGGCAATTTTAAGTACCAAAATAACATTGATTTTTTACACGAAAATTACATTTTTTGTTCGATTATGACGGTCATTTGCACATAGAAGATAATTAAGTTAGTTAAGTTGAAAAAGTTCTACTTTTTATACGTTGTAATATGTTATATGTTTAAAGTTTTATACGCCCCATGTATAAGGGGAAATTCACCGATAACATTATGACGGATGAAAAGGGTATATATAATGTATTTAGAAACAAAAATTTGCGTTGATCTATATATTTTTCAAAACGTTATAGCAATTTAAAGTTGAAAATCAAAAATTGAAATACAAAAATAACATTTTTTTAACTACCGCTGCCGTTTGCACGTCAGAAGATAAGTCATCGAGACAAATTTTTTTTTTAATTTAAAATACGTAACAAAAACTTAAATTTAACATGTANTTGAAATACAAAAATAACATTTTTTTAACTACCGCTGCCGTTTGCACGTCAGAAGATAAGTCATCGAGACAAATTTTTTTTTTTAATTTAAAATACGTAACAAAAACTTAAATGTAACATGTATTTCAAGGACGCAGTATTTCCGGAACATTTTCAAAAGTTAAGTTGAAAAAGTTGACTTTTGTAAAAAAGTTGTTATTTTGAATCCTCTCTTATGGGCAAGTAATGGGCAGAATTTCAAAAATATTATATCAAATAAAATTAAATTTCTCAATGTTTCAACATACGACAAATTTATGCATTATTCGTTCATTTTTCAAAGAGTTAGAGCAGTTTTAATAAAAAAAAAAGTCAAAATTTACAGATTTTAAAAATCATAAATTTTTGGGGGATTCGTGCCATTACAAGAAACGACGGAAATTTTTTCAATTTTCAAGGGCAATATCTTAATTAAATATGATTTGTGATTTTTTGACGTATCTTAAAAAGAAATCAGTTCAGTGAGAGTTGAATAAAAGTGGCAACAGAAACAAAGAAACACATCATAGTAAAGTTAATACCTTCACTGCTTTGCATCGAAGCTAAAAATGAATTGACATATAAAAATGACGTCAATTTGAATTTTATTGAATTTATTGGGGTTGGGTATTGCACCTAAGGCCAACGAGAAATGAGCAAAGCCGCATTTAGAGGTTGAAGGTTTATTGGATGCGTTTTATTTTTATTCAATTAAAAAAAAATAGTGATGCAAAAAAATATAAAAAAAATTTTCTGAATTAAATTAGGGGGACTATAAATTTATTACAAATATCTATTTTTTGTTCAATACTCATGTAACTATGCATATTTATGCCTACGAAATTAAATTTTTTAATTAGTTCCTAAGACCGACAAATATCTTAATCCGACAACGAGTACAAGAAAAAATTAGCATAGGAAATCGATTTTTGTTTTACATCTTCAAAATAAACTTTTGGATACAGTATTGAATATCGTACTCAGAAATCGCCTTATTAGATGGAAAATAAAATGTTAGCTATATTTTTAATATTTTGTAAAGAATATAAATTGATAGTTAAAAAGAACTGAATATTAATAATGTATTTTAATTATGACTTTTACAATATGTCATCCAAAGTGCCTAAAATATAACTACATAATAATAATGTGTATGTAAGTTTATCGTGACTGGATTTTTGTAGAAAAAAAAACCGTTATTTGAATGTAAAAAAAAAATTATACTTAATTGTAATAAATAATTGCCTATCAACAGAATATGAATGTCTTTTTTGTACACAGCTCGAGTTCAGGAGCCTTAGTTTAATCAACGAATGTCCTTGTCAGGGACAGTTCAAAGACCTGAGTAGGCGAGGTTATTTTATAGTAAACTCCTCTGCTACGACTATTTGTACATTACAACATTTAAAAATTAGTGGGGATAAGAAATACATACTAGACAAGTCTGTATTAAACTAGATTTCATTTAAAAACCTTTGATCAAATAGTAGGCACATTGAATTACGTAACGTTTTTTCTCCAACTCTCTACAAAAAATTTAACGATATTAGCATAATCAATAAAGTTAGGTACTAAGTCATAATGATAACAATGAAAAAACAGGATATAATTTCCACGCACGCATTTAAAATAATTAAATAATTATTAAATCGTAGAGTAATAAAATTATATCTACTATAATTGATACAATTTCATTTAAAAAAATATTTATATATTTTTAATAAACTTCTATTTATACTAAATAATCTCTTAAATATATATCAACTCCCAAAAATATATAATAAAATTAGTCACTCATTTTAGAAAAATCCAACTTTATAATCGAATATATGTTTTGAATAACTTGAACTATTCATATCAAATTAAATATTTATAAATCTTTCAATAGTAGAAGAATAATTGCATATCAATGAAAAATTTGTTTGAAAATTATTGGTGCTTTATAAAGTATTCCGAATATAACTAGCAGTTTTTTATTTGAATTAAATCTTAAACAAATATATATTTTTTTAAAAATAGTATTAGTAAATAATTTATAAATAATATAATATAACCATATGTTACACTATAGTTCAATTTTATTATCCGACCTCAGTAAAACTTTTACTACAGGAAAGTTAGTTTTCTAAGTATTATTATGTGTATTTTGAAATCATGATTGTAACATTTAAATACTATGGTTATAATCTTACAGAAATAAAATTTCAAACATTAAATCTTTGATAAAGAATGTTACTTCGATGGCGCATAAAGGTTAAACTTATTTATTAGATGTTTTTAAGATTATTATCCAATGTCAGCACGCAGTAGATACGGGTAATGTAGATAATTACTTACCTTAATTAATAATAATTTATTTGTAGTTCTAATTCATAGTTAATTTATTTGTATATATGCTAATGATTTAAATTAAATGATAGTAAAATATTCTTATAGGAGAATAATAAAATGTTCTCTGTAAACAGTTATATAAGCTAATTATAGTAATATCAATAATTTATTAAGATGCCAGTGTTATTGAAATTTTTATATTTATGAAATAGAATTAAAAAAAAAATTAAAGCTGTTTAATGTATACAACTTTGAATATTTTAAAAATTTATAGAAGTAGAATATTTTTAATTTTACAAAGTATAATTGATACAGCTACTATAAAACACAAATTGAGAAATTGGTCTATCCTACAAGATTGTTATTCAAACTACCCATACTAAAAAATACATAATTATAGAATGGCAAAAAAATAGTGAGTTTACTATTGTTGAATTACGAAGTATTATATTGGATTATTAGAAACTAATAATATAGGTAACTTTAAACACCAATTGCCTTCAATAGAACTTGATTTATTAACAAAAAAAAAACCTGCATTTTTATACTTCACTTTTGATTACTGTTTAAAAACTCGAAAAATTTGTTCGTTCAATAAAATTTCTGTACAATGAATAAATAAATCTATAGGATAAACAACAAAAGTATATTATTACCCAAGACGTTGTATAATGCAATTTAAAAATAGCTATAGTAACTTTGAATGAAATCAATGTAATGTGTTATTTTCATTCATTTATAATATAAAGTAAACCAATGTAAATATATATAATATAACAAGGAAAAAAAACGCTTTTCTGGGAAAATTACTCAGTGTTCTCCTATTTTCAATTTTTTTTTTCTATGAAAATACTACCGGAAAATTATTAAAGATCGGAAAGTTTTTGAGTTTTCGAGAAAAATGCTCACTGTCAACATCGTTTTACGACTTAAGGTTCGAATTTTTCACCAGACCCGCCCAAAAAAATATCTGAGACATTATAAAAAAATTAATTCAAATTGTTCATTTTTTACGAGCTTTTTTTTAAGTTCATGTTTTATGTGCATGTTATGAATAAAGGTATCGGCTCATTTTTGCGCATATATATTACAGATAAATAACTGTATATATTATTATATACAGATATTTTCTATCAATTTCTTTTAAATATGTTTATAATACAAAATTTGTCGATATATATCGTTTGTTTGAACTTATGCTTTATAATTAACTTACCGTTCAAATGTACATTATTTGCTTTGAATATTTTTTTTATGTCCACGCAGAGTTTATATAAGGATACGATTTTGCGTTTGCGCATAGAAATATATTTTGTTTATTTTATCAAAGAATATTTGATAAATTATATATAAATTTCAGCACAGTCACAAGTATATAAATTTATACATACATTATCAGGACAATACAGTAATCTTATTTATCTCATATTTTATGTATAAGTCCATGAGTTTATCATAAAAATTGGGATCCATCTAGGACAACTATGTTGTACAACGTCAAATCACAGTAACCAATATTCTTATCAAAATTTACTTTTTTATATAGTATCAGAAATAATAACCTACCGAATTATTCTGTAATTATTCTATAACATTAACACAATTATTATAAATAGAATATTATTAATAATTGTGTATACCCAGTGCGTATTTAAGAACCAGCACTATCAATATTTTTTTGGGTCGATATCTAAGAATTATGGCTCTGAAGACATTTTTTTTAATCATCACTTTGATTTTTATCAAAGTAACTGCTGCTAGAATTAGTGGCCTACTTATGTAGACGGTTCAAAGATACTTGAACAGCCTCGAGTCTAGTGTAGAACCCTAGTTAGGCGAAGCCTAGTGTAAATATAAAATAAAAACACATAAATTTACATCAAAATATAAATCAATGTAAGAATAAAATAATAATAATTAAACTTATTATTATTGAATATAATTTTGACATTAATTCGTTAATGTCACAAAGAAGAAATGATAAAATTTTATTTAATGTCTTAAAAATCTAAAGGTCCGTAGCACCCTATTCCTCCTTCCGTGCATCCCTGATCATAAAAAACTATTATTTAATCTAATAATAAAGTATCTTTATCGTTAATTTGAATTATAAGCATTGACAAATCATTGCCGGTAATATTCTTTCTTTAGATACTATTTCACTTTTTCTAATTAAATTCTTCCAATTAAGAATATAAATGTCTCTAGTTCTTTGAATTCCTTTTAAATCTTAATTCGTGACTCATTAATCGTAAGGCGCATAGGAAAAATTAATAAAAAAAATTATTCATTCATCTAGAGTATCATCTGTAGAAATGAAACTAAATATATTTTTTGAATGATTTTTAGAGTTGATCGATTGCAAATGCTTAAAATAACACTAATTCCAATTATATTACAGATATAAATCAGATTTTTTGATATTTTATTTTTTCAGAAATTATGATTTTGAATAAGTGTTTTTCTGCTTCGAAAACCTGATCTATGACATTCGACCTTGAATAATTAATGAATTTTCACGTGTGGATTACATCAAGTTGGAAAATAATACTTTAAACATAAAAAAAATTTTAAACCAAATTGATACAAATATATTTTTAAAAAGTAGACGTTTTAAATTTTTATATTTTAAATTATAACGAGTCATTTAAAGTGATATTTTTATGATTTTTATTTTATCAAATCATGTACAATTTATTTTACATACCCAATTATCTTATAAACAAAATGGAATTATGTCCAATAATGCCAAAATATTCTTTCAAAATGGAAAATATTCTTATTATATTCTCAAAAATAAAAATATATTTAATATTGCTTCTAGAAATATTAATTATTTTAAAATAAAATTGAACAGTTTTATTTGGATTAAAAATGAGATATCCAGGAAATTAAGACAGTGCAAAAATTAATATTTATATCAAAATATTAACCGTTGTGTTTTATTTCTGTGTTATCAGACCTTAAATGAGATTCAATTCCCATATAAATAAAATTATCCCCCAAGAATTTCTCAATAAAGTTTATATGTACATATTGAACGCTAGATATTATTACAGGAATGACATTTTTTCCTACAAGGAAAAATATTGTATTCAAAATAAATATTAAATATACAAAGATTGGATACGTTTTAATTAATATTGATTTTCTTTTTAAACATTCTTATTTTGTCAAATTATAATTAGGTATTTTTATAAAAATAAAAAAAATCACATGAAATAACATAATTTATCAGAAGAGAAATTGACATTTCCTATCTTTATATAAAAAATAATACTTTTTAACAATGGCGTTTTTAGGGTTTTATAGTATTACTAATAAAATCAACATTATAATTTATCAAATTTTCAACAATTTATTATAATATAAAGTGTAAACTAAAAATATCAACATTAACTATTTAATGGTACTCACTATTAAAAACAATGTTAATATTACGGGAATAAGAAAAATTTTCAAAATTATGACGCTTATAGCTTTAAATATGTAAGGTTTAATATCTTTTGTCATTTAGTTGAACGAAATTGGTCTAATAGGGGTGGAATAATCGTCTATAGTAACAAAAAAAAAACAGCGTAATGTAAAATCAATTGCTTCCAGCAATTGAAGCTATAAACTAATTCATGTTAAAAAAATTCATTCGTTTAGGTCATATCATAGTTATATAATAGTATATAATATTTTTGTTTTTAAAGATAGTTAAAAATCTATATAAAATACATGGAAAATATATTTTTTTAATTAAATTATAACTTTCGGTATATTATTCCTGTTTTGTTCTTGAATATCAACATAGGACTGCTTAGCCAAACTCTGAAAAACTCAATAGGTTTCTATAACTAAAGGATGCTCTTTTAAAAAATGTTAATGAGAGATTTGTATAGAAGTCTTTATGACATGAAATCTCGGCGAATTTTTTTCTCAGTTCAGTGCGGTAAATATGATCAAATTTTACCTATGTCACCAATTAATGGAGTTAATATTTATGTTGAATATTTAAAAAATAATTATAGCATATATAAAAAAATATTTACACGAAAAAATGATCGTTTATTTATTAGTCTCGGTTAAACACTTTTTAAATTACGTGATTTTGATTACTTACAAACAAGGACTAGAAAAAACCTAAAAAGCCCACGACCGGAACCTTTTTAATATTTAGAACCCCAACAGAAATAAACGTTTTTATTTTCAGGAAAAACAATATTAAAATCAAACCAAAACCTTTAAAATAAAGGTATTTTAATAATTCATAAAATGACTTACATCGTACCATTAAATTTTACTACACTGCATTGTAAAAAAATATACTTTTGTAATTATTTTCATTTTAGTGACTTTCTTCCTTCTAATAATCGTAAAATAAGTTTTATTACTATGTGGATAAATTTAATTTTCACACTTCTTAAAAAATATTTTTAAATAATAATTCAAATGCCTTATCTGAATTTTTTAGGAGCGCTCAGTCCATTCTATGATTAAGAACTTCCCACGTGAAATACTTTGAACATAAGTGTTTTTATGGGAAAAAAACACTTACCATGACGAAAAATAAATGTATTGTGAAATTTTAGAGGGGTTAATAAAATGTTCATATGTATATCCCGTAAGTCAAAATTTTTCAATTAAAGTTTATTTTCAAGAACATATTTGTATTTTAAATGTAAAGAAAACTCGAACCTTAAAACATTTTTTATAGAACCCGAACATGAACGTGAACCCAAAAAAAACTTCATTCTAGTCCCTGCTAATAATGGATTTGTTTAATTGAAATAATAGATTTAAGAAGTCCTTTACTTTGGTAATTGATAACTTCATGATTACTACTTCTGAGTTAACTCAAAGTGAAAGTTGTACAGCAGTAAAACGTGATAGATTCATAATTTTTTTAGATGCGAAGCTGAGAAATTTTTATTTCACTATGGTGGGTATTTTTTATCTTTGGACAAAAATACCCAGCATTTACTAGATTGATTTAGCTTAACAATAAGTAAAAAAATACGAATTTTAACAAAAAATCATACAATTTTCCGAGAAAAAAAAATATGGCAAATTTTGTAATATTTTACATAGTAATGGAATATTTACATTGTTCTAAATTATTTCAAACTAAAACTTGTTTGATACGATAAAAAAAAAACAAAAAAGAGTCGGTGACTTATCCTCTATGAAAACTAAGCTCTAAAATCAAAAACCTTATAATTTTTGTAAGATATGATCATTTTTTTTTAAGTACTCATTTAAGAAAATCACTATCGTTTTATTAGGGTGATTTTAATTACGGTCGGATTCAAGCAATACTAATCTAAAAAATAGCTAAACGCCATCTTACTGGATCCCTATTGTACTTTATTTTTTATGTGAAACCTTTTTTTTTACAAAGGGTTAGACTGGCTGTTGACATGGTAACTTTCTTTCCACTCTACTCTCATTTTCACTGTGTTAAAGTTTTCTACCTATAGTATGTGCATGGGTGCTTTAAAGGGGACAAGGGGAAACATGACTCTTTGGAAAATATGCGATCCCCCTTTCTCTCTCAATGCTTTGAACTCGTATACCTATAGTGTATTCAGTGTTGTTCACTTAAGAACATATTGCCTGTGTTTATTTTAAAAGTAATAACTAGTGATGGACATTTTCGAATGTTTTAAACTATCAAATAACAATTCGAATTGATTTTATATAACCAAATAGTTGATGTTTAGCATATAAACTATCAAATATTTAAAAAACTATTCGAATATATTGTGTAACTATCGAATATTTTTATTATTAAAGTAGTTAGTAGATAGTTCAATATTTCCCATCACTAGTAATAACTGTAACAATTAAATATGATTACAATTATAAATATGATAGTAATATTACACTATGTCACATAACAAGCAATGACAACGATCTTTATATATATGTTAAGCACTGCAATATATATTTTCACTTATACTGCAAAAGTACGTATCTCATAATTTGTCAAATGAGATTATTATTAATTAATAATAATCTAATTTTGTCAAATTTTGAGATACGTTAAAATAAGTTTTTCTGAAGATTTTTGTTCTACATATTTTTTTATGAGATTCATAATTCTATTGATAATTGTGAAAATAAAATCATCTCTTGTATTAAAACGTATTATAAAATTTGACCATTGTAAACAAGTAATTAAAGTCAAGTTAATTATATTTGTATAATTAAGGCGTGAATTTAAGTGTGTATAATGTACGCATTCATGTTTAGTGTACACGAGTGCGTGTATATTTTGTGTCAACCTCATAAATTTTTAAAAATATTTTTAAAAAATTCCGAGTCTGCCTATAGTTTTTAGAGGGATAACCGTTTGTACAAAATATGATTCATAAAATCGATTATTTCATATTAAAAATTTAGAAAAAATCAATTAAAGTTCATATTAAAATTCAAGTATATCTGAATTTTCGAATTATATAAAAATACTTTTGAAAAATTTTAGAAAAAAATGAAAAAAAAAGCTTGCCTCGTGGAAATTGAATCTGAGACCATATGTTCGTTTAACCAATCCATGCCGGGTTGGTTAAACAGTCTGCTGTACCTGATGGAGGATAAAAAATGATATTAAGCTAGTTTAAATTTTAGAAATTGTTTATCATCACTCTGTGGGAAGCAATTACCAAAACATTCCAAATAAGTGTGATTTTTTACATCCAACGTAGATTAGATTCATATAACTTCAGTTGACATCATTAACCAATTGTCACAGAAATACCATCAGATGATACTACAGAATATTACATCACAGAAGTAACTAATTAAAAGAATTAATATTTTTTTAGAAAATTTATATTTCTTTAATAAACCATCTTTACATGCATATTTTATATACAAAATAGTTTTGATGTTTTATATCTACCAGGCGTCTAATGACGGATCACATTATTTTAGCTTGAAACTGCTATAATTTTTTGAAAAATGTTGTATTATTACGATTTTTAGCTTAAATGCGACGCTGAGATTTATCGTGATGTGTCTGTTTTGTCTATCCATAAAAATTCTCAGCTTTCACTGGATCAATTTTATTGATTTTTACGTCAAAATATCTGATTTTAATCTAGTTTAACCTATTGTCGTCGAAAATGGAAAAGAAACCCTTAATTTAAGAAATTTAGAGAAATATCTCAAAATTATAATAACGTAAAAACTGTCATTTTCCATGATTATTATAACTTTTTTTTTAATACACGTTCAATTTTCATATAATCTAAAAGAAACAATGAATTTTCTTCTGATATCTCTTTGTAAAAATTCAATAAATGCCTAAGTATAAAAAGGTTTTAAAAGAGACTACTCACGCATGCAAAATTTTTTTTTCAGTTCGGTAAGAGTATTAAATGTGTTTTTTGTACTTCACAGCAGAAAAGTATAGACTAAACGACTACTGAAATTTCCAATGCATATTACATGATAAAAAAATATTTAAATAAATCTTTGTAATGGTAATGTAAAGGTGTTCATTTAATTTAAGATACATAGATAACATTTTAGATAATGCATCTTTCCAAAAAAAAAAATTACCCGCGTTCTTATTTAATAGATTTGAATACATCAATTAATACTCACAAGATAGCAATCTTTGAAAATTGTTTGTGGTAAGATAAAAAATTCAAGGAATGAGCTCAGATTAAACTTAATAATTAAGTTTAATCTGAGCTCAATTATTGAGGTGTTCAATTAATACAAAAAATGCTGCAAAGATAAAACAAAAATTTCATATTAATTAAAAAAAAAATTATCAATTCTATCAAAAATTTCTAGCCGTATACTAAAATTTTAAATCCTGTAGCAGTTATTATTTTAAATTTTCTTTAACTATCGATTAGATTTACATATTTTATGTTATGTTTGTCTCGTGTTTAAGTCATACTTAAACTTGAAATCTATATTATATATATAACAGAATTTACTAAATAGTTGAACATTATAAGTTAGATAAAATAACATTCAGGATTATTGATTATAATCCATCAGAATCAACTTCATATTACATTTTAGAGCAAAAATTACACCTAACCAAATAAGTAGATACAAAAGCGTATGTCAAAAATGATACTAATAAATTTTAGTTATAACATTAATATTTTAATAATAATATATACATTGCATAAATGTATATATTATATAATGTTAGCTTAAGGTATTTTTTTCTTATTACTCTAAATCGATATTAAAGGATGTTTACCTTAGAAATGTAAAAAAAAGAGAAGTAACAATGATACATCAGTCAAAATTCTTGCTTTTGAATAATATTACCGGTTTTTTCTAACAACATGTTTTTGACTATTTTACTAGCATGAAAAAAACTTGAATAATAATTAAATACTAGACAACGTGTAGTGGATTTACTTTATAAAACCTTGAAGCTGCTTGCGTTTTATATAATCTATTAGAATCAAATCATAGTTAAATATTCTTAAAAAACATATACCAACATTTTGATATTGAAGTCCAATGACTGTAGTCGTTCTACAAATATTATAATCATCAATTTAACAGGTAGGTGTACAAGTTTTTTCAATTCATATTATTTCAAATAAAAATATTTTTGACTACTTCTAATAAAGTAAATATGAAAGCAATAATCTTATGACTGTCAATGTCTCAAGAGTTTCCTAAATATTCCGTTTTTTCTTCCAAAAATATCTACCTACAGTACATAACAATAGCTATTATCTAAAATAAATTATATAAACAACGGCTTTAGGGAAGTAACATTAAATAATACATATTATGAAAAATATTACTATATTTTTCATTTTATTTATTAGTTTAAACAATTAAAATATGTCTTTTAATGACTACGAAGAACTAGTCAATAGCTACTTTTAAAACGCCTACATGCTTAGAAAGTTTAATTCCTAGACTTATTGTAAGTAAATTTATTATCGGTTAAACATCCGCATCTTCACCCTTCAATTAACTGCCTAAAAAAATAAACCACTTGTGTCGTTTGATATTATTTATCTTGTTAAGGTCATATTTTAAGTCAATAAACTCTATACATATGCATTGAAGTATTCATATTATTGTGGTTTATTTAAAAATTATCGTTACAGTAGTAATTCTCATAATTTATACAAACGAACTGGATAATCGGTCATCTTTATATACAGAAAATATAAAAGATTTGACTGTTTAGAAATTTTATATATTTATTTTTGACCATTAATTTATTTTTTAACCGTAATGTTCTACTGGAGTTGACTCAGTATATTTATTTTTCATTTTTAACACTGCGGTGTTAATGTCCATTACAAAAAAATCATAGTTTAAATTAACTACTGGACAGATAATTTATCTTTAAAGCTAAATTAATTGTAATGGGTTCATTTTTTATAAATAAAATCACATTTAAGTATTTCATAAAATTAAAATTGATGTGTTCAATAAGAAACAATATAATATTGGTGTTAATATAGCAGCAAATTATTTTAATATTTTAACTCTATCGTGTCAATATTAAATAAATTATTATTTGTTTAGATTTTAGCAATTAGTTGAATTATTTTGAAGCAATCCAGGTTGGATTTTAAAGCTACGTAAGTTAAATTAATAAAAAATAAATTGTACTTAAAATAATAACTATACACAATAAAAATAACTGTTAATGATAACTAAAATAATAGTATTCGCCTTGTAAAAACAAATATTATAATTATAGTTTTATTCAAGCTAAACTAGAATTTCGGATGCTAACGGAATACGCGCATGGTAAAAATCAAAACATTGCGAATTATTTCAAGTCTACACTACATGAAATTGCGTGGAGAGGTCAGGTATGTGAGTAAACATGCACAATATTATTATAGTGTTACTATAACGAGACACAAAGATAGCCGCCGCGTCACTGAGTTAGCTGAGGTCAATAAACACTATAGTTGTTCACTTGTAAATAGGCACACAACAAAGCTGAGTTAATGTCTAAGACGGGGTTTGCCGGTTTGGGCAAACTAATTCAAAATGGAGTTCCCGAAACCATATAATCTAATAGGTAGATATCATGTGAACGTGTATTGTAGCACACACGTACACATACAACTAACGCGTGTATTTTAATAGGTAATAAAAAAATAATAGTTAAAAACACTAACAGTATACATAGATAATTTATGCGTTTTTTATAAAGGTATTTTTTCTATTTCTACGAATTCCTTGACGGTTGACCGGCTAGATTAACGGCCCAGACAAATATTTTTGTTTAAAACATTACGCAACCATATTTTCGATCTAACCTAGAGCATGTAAAAATTAACAAATAAAATAATTTCATAGGTTTTATATGAATTTATTCTCACGGATATGTATATTTGAAAACCCTTTCTAGTAAAAAGTTTTACATAATCTTTTTTTTTAAACATCGAAATTATGAATAGCATTGTATTTTACATAGAAACCTGATTTCTTCAGTTGGTTGTTGAGCAATTGACTAAAAAAAAAGCCTTATGTTAATTATTTTTTGGTATGGCATGTTATATAGTTAATCATTGAGATTATTCATTATAATATTATCAATAATATGTTTTTAATTTGAATATTATATATATATACAAATAGTATAAATTATTAATCGTAATTTTACTAAATTTAAATTACATAAAAAAAATTAAAACTTATTCAATAATTAATAATAGTTTATTTGTAATACCAAATATATAATATTTAAAATAGCCAACTAATATTATCCTACTGTACTAAGAGGATTTTAAAATTGAATCCATATATTACATTACTTCTACTTTATAAAGTCGTTATAGTAAGATACTTCCAATAGAACTACGTAAAATATATGAGAAATGACCTTTTTGCATAATGAGAATATTGAATTTTATTTATTATACTTAACGGCTAATAACTTAGATTACATACGAATTACAATAACATAAATTATAATAATCACTCAAAATTACACGCAACTTTTATATATCATCATTGAAAAATTAATCATAAAAAAATGCGGTAATTGGTTTAGTGTAAAATGGCTGCGGCACAATATGTTTGTTATCACTGATAAGTTATCTGTGACGTCGAACCGGCGACCGGATAGGATTTGACGCAAGATGGTAGTGGCAGCGTATCAGCTGGACTTGCAAACTTACCTATGTACTTTGACGCGCCGTAAACAATCACTTTAGATAGGTCCGCCTCGCCGCCGTTCTACCCGCAGCCGAAAACTCGCCTGCCGTCGAACGTCTAATTCAGTTTGTTTTCAGACGACGTTTCGAAAATTCGTTACTAATTACATTTTCTGAAACTGCCGTATCTATGTGACGGACTCGAAACGCGATGCGCTTCTATAGCCGAAACGCATAAAATAATAGTTATATTTTAAAAATAATATAATTGGATAAAAAACTACTGTACTCTGGCATTTTGCGTTTCATGGTTTAATGACCTTATCGATATCTATTTTTCATTTTATATATATTTTTTTTTTACATGATAACCGCCATACACAATTTGTTTTTTTGTTTTTATTAAACTACTGTGGTGTGTGCGAGTGTGCGTCGAATTTTGAGTCGCTATCGCTCTAATGTTCAGTACAAAAATACTCAAATTACAAGTTAATTTTATAAAAATAAACTTAACGTTATAATTAAACAGAGTATTTAGTACATATAAATTTATTATTACAATTTTTTCCTATGCTTGTGTTTATCTAAAAGAAAAAGGCCAATCTAATAACGCTTTCACAGACATTCGTATCAGTGCGTGCACACAAAATTTTATGTTCGCTTTTAATTAATTTAAACGAACTTCTATTAAATACGTTCCAGGAAAAGTGGGTAAGCCTAATATATTATATTTAGTTACAATAATTACATAAACAATAAGAATGTTTGAAAAGGTTCTATTTTCTGAAACTTAACAAATATTTAAGGTAATTTAAGTAAAAAAATCGTCCTAGACATAACATTTCGAAATAAACTTTTGATATTATTATTGTCTGTAATAATTATTAAAAATCAGTTTTATTTATTTAAAATCTTTTAATTAAAATTATAATATGTAGTAGGAGTAGTTAGTGCTTTAATTTATGAAAATATAAAACTGACATGTGGTATGTATATAATATTCTGAAATTTTCATATAGTGACATTAGACTTGTTATAGTTAGTGATATTTAACAAATTAAGTAAGGGAAAATTCTATGTACAATATAATATTTAAACAGATGTATTGACAAATCTAGTTAGTGAAAATTTCAAACTCTGTACATTCTACTTTTGGTTATTTTAAAGAAAAACAGATTATGTAAACTTATGTTATGATAACATAATTATTATTTTATTTTTGATGTATGTGTATTTATTACTTACAAAATGTTAATATTTGACTAATATTAAAAACTGATTTACATAGTTAACATATTATCTTAGTGTAAATAATTTTTCAATAAATTCTTTTTAGTGAGCCAAATTTTTCTTGTAGATAATACACATAAAAACAATAACTTAGTCAAACAATAAATCACCTTACATTATAGATGTAAATGTTGTTAGGTAACTGTAATTATTCTAGATTAACCTTGATAAATTCATTAAATTTATGAAGGATTATTTATAGGAAAAAATCATTATGTTAGTATTAGTCTTAATACTTTAAGGATGTGTGTAACTTAATTTATATGTGTATATATATGCAAGAATATAAAAAAATATTAATAGTAATTTCTTTCTGTTAATAGGTCTTAATTAACTAATTATTAAGTGCCAATTGTTATGAAAGTATTAAAATAAATAAAAAGAAAATAAGGCTGTTCTAGAAAATTTCAAAATATCAATGCGGCAAACCACAGAAGACACTATGAATACTTTAGCACCACAACAATATTGTTTGCGTTGGAAGTATCACCATTCAAATTTACAAGCTATGTTTTCACAACTTTTAGAAAGAGAAAGTTATTGTGATGTTACGTTAGCTTGTGAAGGAAAAACTTTAAGGGCACACAAGGTTATTTTGTATTTTTATTAAATTAGAATAGTTATAGTGTAAGGACCATGTTTATTGGCTTTGAATATTATAATATATTCAATATAAAATATTTGTCAAATTTCAATCAGTAATATAAAGTAAATTTACATGAAATATTATTAAAAATTATTTATATTTAAAATACTATTTAACTAAGCTTACATAATAAAGTGAAACACAAAAAGAAAGAAAAAAAAAATTTAATTTTTAAGAAGTATAATTTTAAATTGTAAATTGTTGACTCATAAATAATGTAAATAGACAAATAATGAATTTACAAATTTCAACAACCTTTTATTTATCAATAATATTCAGAAAGAAAAATAATATGTATGTTATTTATTTTGTTATATATTATATAAAACATTTCTTGTGAAGGGAGTCCTTAATTATTGATTAAATAAAACTCAACAGGCTAAAAAGTCTAAATAAATTAAATATTATGATTTTACTTTCTAGAAATCATTGATGTATTATTATCTAAGATATATTTGAATATTTTATACAGGTTATGCTTTCAGCATGTAGTACTTATTTTGATACAATATTATCACAACATGATGAAAATAAAGCAATAGTCATTTTGAAAGATGTGAAATTCTCTGATATTCAAGCTTTAGTTAGCTTTATGTACAAAGGAGAAATAAATATTGAAAATGTATGCATATTTTTATAAATTATGTTTTAGAATATTCTTTATGCTATTAATTTGTTAATTTTTTTAGACTGAGCTTTCTTCATTATTAAAAACTGCAGAAGAGTTAAAAATAAAAGGGTTAGCTGAAGTTTCTTGGAGATCAGACCAAGAACAGCCAAGTCATACATACACTACAACCACAACCCCTACAACTAATGAACCTAATATAAGTAAAAAAAGAAAATTAGAGGCTTTACATACCACTACTAATATAAAACAAGAATTTATAGAAAAATCTAAAGTAAGGAAATTTATTTTTAATTAGTTTCTAATAAACAAATGATATAATATATTATCATTAGGAATATTTATGTAATTAATATACAGTTATATATTATTATATAATAAAATGTGTGTACATTTTTTATATTAAAAAGGAAAGTATTGATGATATGGATGGAGCAGATGTTGACGATGGTTCTGAACCTGATCAATCAATTTGGGAACCAGAAATGCAGCAAGTAATTGATTCAGATAGTTTAGGCCATTCAAAAGCAATGGTGCATATTTAATGATTTTTATTTTTTGATATTTAGTATCTGTATTTATTTAATTTGTTTTTTTAAAGGGAATTTCAGAAAATGTAACTTCATACACATCTGAAGAAGAAAAAGGAAGTAGTGCTACTAATATAAGTCAAGGTTTTAGTGAACAGCCTTCCCATGTTCCAGGCAAGTTATTTTTGTATTATTGTGTTTCTTTATTTGTTCATTATTTATTAAAAGTTATGACAAATTTTATACAGACTTAAGTCAATTCTCTGATGTAATGAAAATGAATGACTATCTAGAATCAGGTGGTCGTCGCCCACAGTTTTGGGAGGAACCTTTTACAAAACGTTTAATGGAGTCAATAAAAAATAAAGAACTTGAAATGAAAGTAGCTGCAGAGCTTATGGGAGTATCATATGGTACTCTCTATGGTAGATACAGAGATGCTTATGGTTGCTTAAAACACCCTTATAGGTATTTGTAAATTATCTTCTAAAATAACTTGCTTATTTTTTAAAAATAACATAATTTTAGAGTCCGGGATTTTTGGTTAGAACAAGGCCCAGCTGATGTTTTAGCTAAGTTACAGCGAAAAGAACTTACCCTGTTCAGAGCCGCAGAAATTCTTAATGTCACTGTTACTACTTTGGCAAATTATTTGTCTACCATACGGCAAGGTGACAATCCACTGACAATGTCCACTGCCAATGTAAATCCTTCTGATAGGTCAACAATCAATGTTGAAGGCATGATGTCAGAAAGTGATAGAGAACAAGACTCAGATTATGATAATGATAATAAAGATGATGCTAATATTTTAAAAACTAGTAGTAGCTCTCAATCTCAACAAAATATACCAGATATATCTGTTGTTCATACTCCAGGTGTAATGTCAAAAGTTAACAACCTAAATGGTAACTAGCACTATAGGTTAAACAATTTTATTTGGCTAGACTCCCATATGACTCACTAAAATTTAACTTTGTGTCCTAAAGATAATAACGACTTGCCAATATTTAATAACTTTGGCCATTTTCTCTACTTTGTTTTGTTTTGTTTATTTTATTTGTTTTGTTTTTATTTATTTATATTTTTTACTACACTAAATATACCTGGTGTATTAATTTCAAATAGAAAGAATTATTGTTAGGAAATATTATGTTTTTAAAACTATTTTATTTCAAAAGTTGAAACGCTGTATATTGAACTATTTATTCATTATTGGTGCTAAATCCATTCTATATTACATGGCAATCTTCCATTTTTAGTTTAGTAGAATATTAAAATGTTCTATAGGAAAATCTCCTTGTTAATTTTATTTGTAAATATAAAATAAATAAACAACATTTTAACTTAATTTCGTTATTTGACTTATAATAGTGTTATAATTCGTATTATTTTAAACAAAATAGTCATTTATTCTCTGCACCATTTTTGTTTTGTTACTTCCATGTGATATCATATTGGGTGATAAGCCAAATTACGATTATAAAAAGCATTTAATATCATATAAAATTTGAAAAATTAAAGTTGAATTCTTTATATTGTATCTGAAATATAATGCCTTTAAAATTTAATAAATTATGCTTAATAACACTGTGTAGTAGTATTAATCATTTGTTGATTAAATATCTTGTGTTTTATAGCACTTTCATTAAAAACTACCAAATTGCTTTATATATTCTGTAAAAAATTTGAATTTGATAGACTTTTTTTGTTTTTCAATTTTCAAACTGAAAAATTTAAAGAAAATGAATATAATTAAAATAAGCAATAATTTTATAATTAATGTAAAAAAATTAATTTTCACTGTATATTCAATTTCTGAATTTCGTATTCAAGCAAAAAATGTAGTATACATATTTTTATGATTATCATTATGAATTAATATAAGTAAAAAAATCATGTTTCATTTTTTCATTCTATGTATTTTTAAATGTAGTATCAAAAATGTATGCACTCCAATGTAGTATAAGTTCATTTTTTTTATTAATTTATATAACAAATTCTGGTAAATTTATTAATGTGATAATATAAATACACACACACATATATAAATATATATGATTCTATTATAAGTTGAAATAAAGTATTTTGGTGTATAAATATATGTTGTAAAAAAATTGTATGTTGTTTAAATGTCAAATTTTAAAAATATTTTGAATGATGAGTAGTTCATCTAAAATATAAAATCAATTTAAATTTACAAATTTGCTATTATAAAGTATTTCAAGTGTAAGTTATTACTATTGTCTTGTGTTAACATAGTAAAATAAAAAATGTTGACCAGATATATTTATAAACTGTATATAATAGAATTTTATTAAGTAAGTAAATTTGGAAATGTTATTCAATATATATTTATTAGTCCTACCATATTAAGAATTAATTATTGTTAATATAAGTTTCAGAATTATTTTAAGTTTTCAAATATTAATAAAATTGACACTTAATAGACATAAATTACTGATAAAATATAATGTGCAATATCATTCATAGTCTTTTGAAAAATTTTTAAGTCTGATCACCAACCAATGTAATCATACAGTTATATATTATAGCTAAATTTAATAAAATCTTTTATTATAATTATTGTATATACAATGGATGAAATTTAATTTTAGGATTGTTATTAATTCAAAAACTGATAACAACACAATCGTTCTAATAATATTTATTTGTTATGGAAAAAATATCTTTATTGAAGACTTGAAAAACCGAAGACTAGTTGAAAATATTTTTTAGTTATTTATGTTTAAAATTTATTTATTTGATTTTATTTTAGTTATTGTATATAAAAATAATTTTATTTTTATTTTAATTAAATTTTACAATTTACATATAAGGTATAATTTAACAGTTATAGATTATGTTATACGTATTCATATCAGTTATACAAACATAAATTAAAATTAAAATCTTATAGATATAGATTAAATTTTTTTTTTTTTTGTTATTAATAAAGTAAGTGTAGAATTTTTTTTAATTTCATGTGTTCCTAGGATTTAATATTTTTCAATTATTATGAATTGAGTTTGTTCAATTAAAAATGATTTTTATATTTATACATTTTTTTATTTTTCATAAGATAAGTTAGATATATTCAAGAGTTCATATAGATTTATCAAAATTATTTCTGAGCTTTGTAGATAGGAGCTTAAATATCTTAGAGTAAAGTTATAATTATTCTTACTTAGGTATCAATTTGTCAACTACTTATTTTTTATAATTATTAAAACTATAACAACAAGTATTGTTATTTTTACTTTTCTTTTATTTAATATTTTTATTATCATTGTTATCAAAAATAGATATTATTAAATATCTATTTATAAAATCATTCAAAAACATACGTTTGATATAGATAACTATTATCTTTGGGTAAATGGCTTGTCATTAAAAAATTGTTTACATTAACTTAATTTAGTTTGTGCAATATATGTGTAACACATCAAAAGCACTTTTTTGATTTTGGTAATAAGGGTAAAGTGTTTTTCATGAAATATTCATTCCTTAAAAATTTTCGATACTTTATTATTTCGTTATATTTAATTAGGATATAGTAATACTATTGTGCGAATTTTAAAATTATTTATTTTCATAATTATAAAAGTGTATATTGTAACATTTAAGTATGTTTGAGGTCAAGTGACATTTTATGTTTCAAATTGAATGAATTTGAATTAAAAAATAATATTACTTTCTTTTTAAAGGTTTGAAATTGGAAAATATTTTATTTGATTTTAATTTATAAACTTGAATGTCAAAACTATTTAAAAAGTTTCAAGTTATCACAAAAAAAAAATAAAGTAATTTATTATGAAAAACATCTATTCTTTATTGAGTTGAAAGTCTGAGGTCATATGTCAAAATTGAGTTTTTTCTTGTTTTTTGACCCAATAAAAATATCCTAATGTACTTAAGAACCTTATACTCTTTCGGCATGTAATTATTTTAAAACTTAATCACATTAATTTATCTTTTATTTTTATCACGCTGAAAATATTTTACACTAAATTACTAATTGTTTTTCTCACTAATATTTAAATGCGATTGAATTGAAGTACATAAAAACAACTTGCTGGTATTGTTTTTTTATCAAATAAGTTATTAAACTATTAATTTTATCTATGTGAAGAAACACCATTTAAGATTTTTGTTTAATGTACCTCATACATATAAATTTAGAATTATAATAAATAAGCTGTAAATTACTTATGTTAATTAATTATTTAAAATAAAATATTTTATTTAATTAAAGGTGTGTACTTTATATTGTATAATAATTTTAATTATGAAATTATTAATCATTCTTTGTAATTTATAGTTATCAACCAAAGTTTTTTTAGTATAACGTCGCATTTAATTGTACAGTTCAAAATATTTGTGATACATAACTATATATTTATAAATACACATGTTTATGTTACAGGTTTGAATTAATTATAAAAATTGTTACGTACTCATTTTTTTGATAAGCATAGATGTTAATTTAGAGTCTTTAATGATACGGTATCAATTATTATGAAAAAGAAACCAAGTTAATAAATGATTCAGTTATATATAAATTTGATTAAAGACGGTATTTCATGTTTTAGCTTCGATGCGAAGCTGAGAAGGTATGAGTTTTACTATGATGAGTTTTTTTATTTTTAATTTTTTTTTGTCTGTTACCACTTTTTCTCAGATCTCGCCGAAACGATTTGTTTCAACGATACATCAAAAGATCACAAATCGTATCTAGTCAATGACATTACACCCAAAAATTGAAAAAATTTCCCTCGTTCCCCGTAAATGGGGGATATCTCCAAAAAAATTTAAAATTTAAAAATCGCTAATTTTCGACATTTTTTCAATTTTTTTTACTTAAAACTGCCATAACTTTTTCAAAAATTACCAAATCAGTATAATTTTTTTTTTATAGATGCATGATTTCTTTACTTATCAATTGGTATATTTTTTTATAAATCTGACCCTTTATGTGCCCACAGGGGATATTTAAAATTACAACTTTTTTACAAAAAATTATCTTTTGAAAGTGTTCCGGAAATACAGACGCTTTTATAGCTTATGTAACATACTTTATTATGAAAAAAAAATTTCGGACTTTATTTTGTCTTCATGGTGAAAAAGGCTACCGTCTGCTATTTTTGTGTTAATATTCTCGATTTTATATTTTACATTAATAATTTTAAAATGCTATAACTTTTTGAAAAATGCATGGATCAATACAATTTTTTTATGAGAAATAATATTTATATACTTCTTTTATTCGACATACTTTTTTTTAAATCGGAAATTCCCTTAATACAGGAATGGTTCAAAACTTAAAAATGCATATAGAAAGTAGAACTTTTTGAACTTAATTTTTGAAATATATATATATATATATATATTATAAATATATTTATTCATATATTACACTTATAAATCATTAAACTTGTATTCAGGATATAAAAAAGAAAATAGGAAATCAAATAGCTTTTGGAATAATCCAGTAATTTTTTTTAATTAAACACTATTTTCAGATTTTAATCGAAGCATTTTTTATGCTAGTGATTTTAATCACTATCAGATATCATTATACTTGATCCAACTATGCCACGTCTCCACTTTGCTTGGTTTTTTATTGTATAATACATTTTGGCACATTAAATTTTGGGAAATTAAACAATAAATAAACTTAAAAGCTATTATTTTTAAAACTCAATTAATAAATTAGTACTTATCGAAAAACCTTAAACAAAATTAATGAAAATAAAACTTTTAGGAAGTAATTAATTTAAATGTTGAAATAAGTTATTTCAGTATCCTAAATTCTTGTCTAAGGAATGATTCTGTATCAATTAAAAAATTATCAACTGTTAATTTGCCACCAGAATCCACCTATGATATTTAAGTTATGAGAACTATACCCTTCTTAATAAGTATAAATACACAATTGATATTTTACCACATATTATTATACATATGTGATACATTATTATTAGAGTACTACTATTTAAAACTTTTTCATTTATTAAAAATTCACGTTGGATGTGAGTAAATATATTAATTTATTTTATTAAATATAGTTGAATAACTATAAAATTAAAAACAGTATAACGTAAGTATACTATTCTCGATTAGTTCTGATAGTTTTACATTTTTTATTATTTAAATCGATTTTACTGATTAATACGCCAAAATAACCCAAGATTTTTCAATAAAAAGATGAAGAAAAAAAACTTCAATTTTAGGTATTTATAAATAATTAGAAAATTTCGCAATATTAAAAACTCAAAATTAGCCAACCATAAAAAAATGGCAAAACATTTTTTTTTAATTGCAATAACTTTATTAAAAACAGCTGGATTTTTGTAATTTGAATAGGATATACAAGAAACAATCTTTTTTTACTATGCTATTTATGAAATCTTAAATATAAGAAAAGTTTTAACGAGACATACGCATTCAAATTTTGTTTTTCATTTGAAAATGTTCTGAAACATTCGTTTTTTAAACTTAAATGAAATTAATGCTTAATAAATTTACTTTAAGTCTTAAAAAAAAATTTTTCTATGACTGTTCTACTATGAGTTATTTGACATCTAAATGAAAATTTGTAAGATTCCCTTTAAAATGTTTGAATATTTTCTTTAAGTTTTACTTTATAAATAATCATTTCAATTATTTTATAATAGTAATATTAATAAAAAAAATATTTCAAAACACCTGCAATCCTATTATTAATTATTATTATTATAATCTTATTCAAAACTAATAAAATAAAAAGTTGCTTTTTGTCGCTTAAAGATGTCTATGATCTTTGATTGTTAGAAACAATATAAAATAGTTAAATTTCACCCCCCCCCCTAGTGTTATCATTAAAATCCTCTAATAAATTTAAGCCTCTTTTGGGAGAAATATTAGAATTTTACTTGATCAAGGATTAATTTTACATCCTAATCAGCACTGGAGTTAATCTATTAGAAGGATGGATGTGTAATCTTTTTTTTTATTTTTAACTCTTAAATTTAAAAAAAAATCTTCATAATTAAATTACAGATAACCTAATTTTATATTATGAGGAAATTTTAAAATCAATAACAACAATTTTATTAATGAAAGATTAAACTTCATAAGAATTTATAATTTTGTAAGTCATAAGTTGGTAACTGTTATAGAACTATTGTTATTACGTATATACGCTTTGTAATTTTCATTCAAAATTTGTAATGAAAATTATATAAAAACCTTTATAAGTAGTTGGGGACCCAGAAATTATTATTATTTCTGTAAAATGGAATGTACAGTATATTACAATTTCTGTAACAATAGGGTTCTCGGGATCACCATTATGCAGGAAGTGTGGAGTAGAAGAGGAAGACTCATTTAACATAATCTGCGAATGTGAATCCTTATCCTAAAATCAAATTAATTAATTAAACCTTTTCCGAAAAAGAAGAAATCAAAACCTAAGACCCAGAGAGATACTTAACTTCGCCAGAAAGACAGAAATACAGGAGATAACTTGACCCTTTATACAATGATTGTATAATTGGTATAATGTAATAACTCTTCGGTGATTACACTTAAGCGTGTAAACTGAATCAAGAAAATTCGGTATGAGGTGTGCAAAATGGACCAACAGGACTGAATACATAGGTATTATGTTCACCTTACTAATAACTAAAACTAAAATTGAATAAGTTTATACAACAATTTTAAAAACTTGAATTTTTTTTTTATTAGTTATACAGAGTATTCAAAAATAAAAAAAAATTTA